ATAACTACCCTGAGACCTTAAGCAGACACTAAATGATGCCAATACTTTGCTTAACTAATCATCATGGTTTATTAAACCAACCTTTGATCTGTACTCCCTCCTGACTAGTCTTCTTCTTTTTCTTGAAGAAACACCATCTGGATCGAGCACTCTGAGAAGAACTCTCAATAAATCTCTGAAATATAAATGATGACCAAAATAAATATATCATCAGGCAAAGGGCTTAAGGGAATTACACCAGAATTGGACAAGGCATTTAGATACAAAAAGAGGATGGAAAGTAGGTTCTGTATCAATTTGTTGTCTTTTGAGATACAGTTATTAACCCCTTTAAAAGAACAATATTTCCTTTGTTATTTACCCATATGGAAAAAGCATGCGATCCATTGGTTTTACCTTAATTTTCGTCAGCCATAATGCACTCTATGCATATTGTGCAATCCGAAAACAAGCGGTGCAGATTTAATATGCATAAGGTGCCGATATTAATGGTAATTTTTGAATTTGATTCCATTATATTTCACCAATTAGGGCATGTTTGGTACTCGATTACATTCATACATGGGAACAGGTTCCCTAATAAAAAGGAAATTGTGTAAATAGGTGTGTAGTTCATTCTATAGCAACACAGCAAGCAATAATACGCTCTCCAAAGCAAATATTTTGAAATTGCAGCGGTTTCACAGCGTAAACAGCCTTCATCCAGTATTTGTGATCAAGATGACATTATTGATACAAATTGTATCTGTATTTTGAAAGGAGAAAGGGGCCTGTATGATTTAAACAAATTGGGAAACATTTAACAAAAATGTGCTTCCTATTACAAAGCGGTTCGGATATCCAGATATCTGAAAAAGTGACGATATCTGCACCGCTTGATTAGAGGTAGCACATATCTGATAAATGTTTTTAATTTTTTAAATATTTCACACAGGGAGGTCATGACTTTCAAAATTAAAAAATTATATGCATCGATTGGTTATCTCGATCACCAAAACTGAATGAAAGCTGTAAACTGTGTAATGAAGAAGCAATTTCAAATTATTTGCTATGGAGCAAGGATGAATGCTTAGTCCTTAAAAAATGAGGAATACAACTATAGACAAAATTTTCATTTTATTAGGTAACCTCTACACATGGATGAATATAATTGAGTACCCAACATGTCTTAGTTCATGAAATATCACAATTTCAAATTCAAAAATGACCATTAATATACGCACATTGCACACGTGATATCCACTTGTTTTGGTATTAGAACAGTCTGCATCACATGAATGGATATCTTAAAAACCCTTCAGGGGAGCCTACATGGAGCCTATCGTTGAGAAAGGGTTAACTTACATTCTGAACATGATTTATCAAGTTTTAGAAAAATCAAAGGTAGCATCACATTAACATCTCTTTACGGAAATTCCCGTCATAGACCTGATGGATGGCAGGAACACATCTGCATTTTTCCAATAAAATTAGTAAAAAGTAACTTTTTTGTAACATGGGCAAAGGTGTACCTTGGAATGTAGATCCCATGGGTCATCCGGAGCACCTGCAACAGCTCATTACATCCAACGGACCTTGTTGCACTCTTAAGTTCATCCTATCAAAATGTCATATAAAAATGTCAACTTTTGGGAATGCACTAGCATTTAAATTGTGGTCCAAGAAAAATTAATTTTATTTTACAATATCGTAGTATGAGAATAATACTGTCCCATTTTATCAAATTACAATTTATACCGACATTCAAATTTATTTTGGAAAAAAAATTAAAAAATTTGTGTCCATTGAAAATACATAGCAAAATGGACATGAAGCTTACAGCTTTAATCTTTGATAATAATATACTCTTGCAATTGAATTGTCCAATCTCCATCTTTAATATGCTCAAAAGTTGGTAGAAAATCTTAAAATTCATGGATTCTTTAGTGTACACAGTGTACATAACATTTTGGATTTAAAATACAGTGAAAATTTCAGAAATGACAGATATATACATGTATAAGTATTGAAGTTACAGATGCTTAAACTTTCAAAAATTTATTTCTCAGTTTCACAAAAATGTGAGTTGGGACATTCTTATTCTCATAGAGTGATATAATAACATCATGTCAATCAAGATCAAGTCAAATATATTATCAAATCCCTTTGCATCTCACTAAAAACAAATCTAAACAGAGATTTTAAAGTTAATGGTCTATTCTGTAGAGTTTTGCAGAAAAACATCTCGACAATCTGAATGTGAAGCCTGGGAACATAATGTCAAAATAACTGTTAAAATCTCAACTATTATCTAAATCAGAAAACAATGTAAGTGGATGAGATCTATAGCCTAAAATTTTCACCAAACACCAACATTTCTCAAACTAACCTGAATTGCACTGATCACAGTTTCTAAGTTGCTGTTCTTCAAAGACCGCCTCACATCAGGAACTACTTTCCTTTTTAAGTAACTGTAGCTACAATTATATAATAATCTTACAGTAACATTAAATCGAAACAATGCAAGTATTGCAAATATGCCTGTAGATAATAATTAACACAGTGAAAAGTAATTGAATCATCAATACTTTGAGAGTAAATCAAAAATCTAAATAGTTGCCTTAAAAGAACAGAACAATCAAATACAAATTAATAAATGCATCTCAGTTAGGGCTTTCTTCATGATATCATTTTGATTCTAATGTTTTATTTTTTAAAGTTATTTGTAAGTTTTGAAAAAGTGTCTTGCTCTTAATTTAATTTGATAAGAATAAAATATTAATATAATATTTTCTATTTCAAATGTTTGGTGGCCATAAATGTCTTTCATTAACATACCTTATATTTATTCCTTCTTTTTGAAGAACATAGTGCATATCCCTCACTGTCATTGAGGCTCTGATCATCTCCCTGATTTTTGATGACACATCTGAAACATGCAAGAAATAATAATTCACTTATCTCATGAATTTATTGTATTGCTGTTCTGATTTAGATGTGACTATATTCAGGAATCAAAAGTTCTACTATTTGAAAAGTATAGTGTAGTAAAACCCTTATGTTCATTCACATGTTTTAAATCTTATTTAATATTTGATTGAAATTGAAAGTAATTTTCAAGTAAGCACACAGTAGCTGATTCCATACTTGCTCTACATCTTTCAATTTTGTAACAGTTTTTATTCATATATTATTGGTAGAGGGTTAAAAAATTTGAAAAAGTCTTAAATCGAACCTAGAGAGCCTAATCATTACAAATGGAACAATCAAATTGGAGATGCATGTGCAATAGCCAAGACAATATGGATGAGGAATTTCGCTTTCAGGACCTTATGTTAACTTTATCTTATCCAGTGGATGATATCGATATTCCCCTTCGTCACCTGGCCACTGCGTTTCATTAGTAACACATAGAAGTTGTTTTGGATCATTTTCCTCAAAGATCTGCCCTGTTTCCAAGGTTTTGGATGCCCTAGGTCTTATATCTGGACATCTAGTATGGCATTGATCCTATATTTGAACATTTGGTATGGCATTGGCCATATATTTGGACATTTGGTATGGCTTTTGGGTGTTTATTTTGGTTGGTATGGGAACACATTGAAAGTTGACAGATTGGTATGTTGGGAATATATTGATATCTGAGGGTTCAGCCATGGGCTTCTTGCCCGTAGCCAGCTTTTACCAGGAGGGGGAGCTTTTTTCCAGGGGGGGGGGAGATTTTTCACAATTTATGCTAAAAATCATGCAAAAAATTCTCAGATTGGTGAAAAACTGCATGATTTTGAAAGAATTTCTGGCCTCTGGCTACGGGCCTTGGCTTTCAACTATACATATGTACTCTAATTCAAAGCTCCTGGTTCAGTTTTGGAGCACAGTCAAATTTTGAATATGGTGAACCCCCGGGTCAATGACTGACTGTAGTCCTCACAGGCATCGGAACAGAAAACAGATTATTAGACACCCTCTTATTCTATGTTAGAGTACCTTGGTACATAGAGTGCGGGGGAGGTGAAACAAATTACCCCCCCCCCACCCCCTCACGCACCCCCCCCATACTCTATGTACCAAGGGGAGATCTTTATATCTGTTCCCACGCCTGGCTTAATAGGTAATTCTGTTCCCACGCCTGTGATTGCATACTGATTTAAAGCTACCTAGACTCTGCAAGCAGGGTATAACCTTCAATAGATTTCAGATCATGGTTTTCAGTAACTTCACTTGTTTTGGACTAAATTTCCTTCGATTGGTTGATCATTCATGGCTACATGCCTCTTACTAAATATACTTACTACAACCCTTTAGATATGAGAACATTAACCTTTAGTATAAATACATAATTAAATAATTGCACTCATAATTAACCAAATATTTATAATTCAAGCCTTTTATTAGATTAGGACGAAAAAATTTACGTACCATCCTCCATTTTGTACCTTGTCACGTGATTTTGAGTGGCGCCTCTAGTGGTAAGCGAATCTGTATGCATACGCCCTCTTTTAATGAACATCATATTTGAAACCATATTAGAATCGAATCTGATAAAACTAAAAGTGCGCATCATGGTCCTGGATGTGCTGCGCGCTAGAATCAGGAAATCTCAAAGTTCTCCTCGTTAGAGCCATCAATATTATCCAAAATTGTCATTTCGCTGGTTCACTGCGCAGTCTTTCGAAAAAAATCAAATTCGTGGTGCTACGAATTTTTATTCGTTATTTATTCACAGATAATCATTTTTTCATCGCGCACTGAATGCCGGAATTTCTGCGCACTTTATTTTATTTAACTTTGCAAAACGCGGCCCCTGTCATTCATTCAGTGCGCGATGAAATCTATCTGACTGGGCCGCGGTGTGTGATATCACTCCCATGTTAAAACTCCATTCGATTTTGAATTATGCGCATGTCCCCTATAGCTTTCCGTACTTATTGGTTCATTCTAATTTCGGCGAATATGTTCCCATAGTGACACTTCGCGGACTGTTATTATTGGTGAAAGATGCACATGACGTCAATTTCTAAAGTAAGTGGCTATCTGAAATTATTTTTTCATCCGGGTTTATGTTTACATATTGTGACTAGGAAAGTATTTAAAAGTGCACGTAAAGAGTTTTGTTTATCACAGAATCAAGTCAACGTCGCCTCTGCACCTCCATCCCGGGACTTCCATCAACATTCTAAGGTATGTACTTTTACATGATATTTGTTTTGATTGTAATAAGCATGAAAATCATGACTTGCCTATTGCCTGATTGCGCAGGTAATTAAACATGGTACCTGTATGCTATTTCAAGTTTACATGGTTTTCTAATGGCGCTTGTGCAACAGACGTCATCATGAGAAATCATGGCCTTCCATTAGCTACACACTAGTAGTGATGAGTATCAGAATGATCAGACGTAGGATGAAGGAAAAAATTGCGATTTTAGGTCATCACGTCTGTCATTCATTCCCTGTTCTACAGTAATAATTTTGGTGGAAGGTAGGAATTATCGAGGGCATTATTAATTATATTTTGAGGCTTATAAAAAGCAGTCTCATTACAAATGATGCAGTACAGTTTCAAACATAACAGGCTTAACAATCTCATATTGTATGGTACATGTGGTAACAATATTGAATGGTAACAATATTGTATGGTACATGTGGTAACAATATCGTATGGTAACAATATTGTATGGTACATGTGGTAACAATATTGTATGGTAACAGTATTGTATGGTACATGTGGTAACAACATAGTATGGTACGTGTGGTAGCAACATGGTATGGTACACGTGGTAACAACATTGCATTAATGACATAAACTGCAAATTGCTTTTAATACATATGTTATGAAATAAATATGAATTATAAACTGTAAATTCGTTTTTAAATGTTGATGTTGAAAAATTATCACAAAAAATATTCAAGAGGAATTCAGTAACATTTGTTGATTGAAATTGAAATAATGTTTCTTCGTGCTGACATTTAAATTCTATAACTGTCAAGTAAGTTGAATAGGATAAGTCAATCGAGGATTGTACATTTTACATGTATTCAGCGCCATATGCAGTTCAGTGACACATTTCAAAATTATGAAAAATAGTAAACAATTAAGATCTCCGTAAACACATTGCTAGTTGATCTATATTGCTTCAGATAACATCGATTTTTAAATGAACACGCCACTGGCGGATCTGGGGGGGGGGCCCGGGCCCCCCCCCCCCTTGGGTGGGCCCAGAAAAAAAAAATTGTGCCCAAAAAAAATTTTGAGCCAAAAAAGGCTTTAAGGCCCCAAAAAGTAGGCCTTTTAGGTCTTAAATTGGCCTTCTAAGGCCTTGTTTTTTAATTTTAGGCCAAATTTTGAAGAAAATGGGCCTCACAATTTCAAAATTTGGGCCCACTTTTGGGTTTTTGGGGCCCAAAATTTTTTTCCGCGCAAGCGCGGACGTTTTTTCTCAGACAACAGGTTTGGGCCCCCCCCTTGTTGGTTCCCAGATCCGCCCCTGCACGCCTAACCATCGCGTAAACAGGCGTCACCGTACAGCGTCAAAAAGTACAGTAGTACAGTTTTCTGTACTGTTACGAAAACTAACTGAGTTGAAGCAAAAACTATAATGAGGGGTTTAAAAAAATTAATGAGATGAAAATAAAAACGATTTCGGGTGTAATAAAAATAGCATTCTCTTACAAATGGTTTTAACTTTGTAATTATGATAAAAGTTTTTCGAGCACTGCTCGGATTTTTTCTGACTGGATCGGCCCACATAATCGACACGAGAGAAAGATGTTTTTTTTTCACTTTTCGTTTGGTTATTATTTTCCCTGCCGTCTGAGAGTATGGATTATTTTTATGAGAATATGTATTTGTTATCTACACATTTTAAAACAGATGAGGATTCGGCAAATAATCATTCACTGTATATATTTTAAAAAGATCAGATTTGTACGGTGACGCATCTGCTGTACGGTGACGATTCCTTAGAATTTATGAAGTGTAATATATGAGCTCAGTATTTACTTAAGATTCCATAAGTTTTTGTGTGGAAATTCAAATGTTGTATCCCATTCAACATGGAAAAAGATCAATTCTTATGTTTCCATTCATTTCTGATAACAAGGAATAAATACTGAAACACATTCAACTCTAAGCTTACTGTTCGAACAAGAGGTAAAGAAGTGTCAGATTAACATGTACATTATCACTGGTAAGAATCAAGCGAAGGTTACGGCCGTCACCTTCGCATTTAAGATGGCGGACAGTAAGTATTAATTTCGATATTTTTAGTTCATGGAATTAACTATTTGAAAGTTGACGTAATGCTTTGATATCATTTGAACTAAAGCAGGCCTTTCTCATATGACTAACAAAGATAGCCTACAGCCATCTTTACCCCATGCAAGATATTGCATCTTTCATCCTAAAAAGTCACACGTGCAAGATGAGATTTACTTGTGACATCACTTGTTTAAAAACATCAATAACATAGCAACAAATATACTGAATTTTTGGTTTCATGATCCTTACCGTATCATACATTTCCAGTTACCCATGAAGCGGTGGAAGATATCGTTGAACTATGGCGCCCATGCACTATATATGAACAATTGATCATACTCCAGAACTTCCATTTCATATAAGCTTAGTCTCATTTAGTTCATCAAAGCACAGCTGATGCGTCACCGTACAAATTTGATATTTTCTAAATATACACAATGAATGGTTATTAGCTGAATTATCGCCCGTTCTAAAATGTGTAGTTAACAAATACATATTCTCATAAAAATAATCCATACTCTCGGACGGCAGGGAAAATAATAACCAAACGAAATGTGAAAAAACAACTTTTTTTCAATTGTGTCGATTATGTGGGCCGATTCATAAAGAAAAAATCCGAAGAGTGCTCGTAAAACTTTTATCATAATTAGAAAGTTGAAACCATTTCTAAGAGAATGCTGTTTTTATTTCACATGAAATCGTATTTGTTTTCATCAAATTATTTTTTTTAAAACCATAGTCATAGCTTTTGCTTCAAAGCAGTCAATTTGCGTCACCGTACAGAAAACTGTACTCTGCTATTTTTTGACGCTGATGGTTAGGCGTGATGTATCTTAAAACTCATGTAAAGTCATTATTATTTAGTATGCTCAAACATTTACATTGTGCACATGTGCATCCCGAGAGGGCACACCCCAGCCTTCTTTATGTCCTTTCATATTGATATTATGATATTTTGAAGCAGAACGAGCTGATGAATATCAGAATGTCAACTTGTTCCTGTGACCGACCTTGGGAGAGGCATTGCTACCATTTTAAACCATTTTCTTTACATGGTACATTAATTTTTAACTTTAAAAGTTATAATTATATGACTTGTGTACAAATTACCTCTGAAATTTTCCCAACCCTATTCTATTGGTATATTTTCATTATTTGATGTAAATCACGTTCTAATTTATTTTATTGCTTTTGGTAATGATTACAAAGGATTTAGCCGCCATGCCATGATTCCCTAGAATCTACAAAAAGGCCCCGGATGTACGGCTGCTATCGATACAATAATTTATATTTTATGTTTCATTTAATTTGAAGGATAGTTCAATGTAAATTGAGTCAACTGATAAAATGTATTCGTAATAGCTTTACGACAATGCATGGTGTATGTGCATATGATTGCATTGTTACAGAAAATATTAATATTAAATGTACAAGGGCAGTTACTCCAAACAATTCAAGTGGTAATAGCAACACAAACATGTGGTAGTTCGGCGAAAGTACATTATACGGTACACTATATTTTATGTTGTAGAAATTACACATTTTATTGAAATAACATATCAAGGATGATTTTCTTAGAAATCGATTCATCTATCCACTGGTGTATCATCCAAACATTGTTCTGCAGACATCCTAAATAATTATAAAGGTGTACCGCCCTGTACACCCTGTATATATCCTTGCGGGTTGTAAAGTTCGCTCGGGGGTCTGAGTATCAAGCAAAGGTAACGGCCTTAACCTTCGCATCTTATTTGGAGGACGCTAATTGTCGATTTCGATATTTTTAGTTTTCATCAAATTAAACTACTTTACAATTGACGTTATGCTTTGATTTAAGGATTTAAGCATTGGACTCAGTGCATTGGGTGCTGAACCATTCCATGAAGATGTTGTTTCTAAATCTTTGCACGGCCGCGCATCTGAGTGGAACGAAGCAGCCACAATGCATTGAGTCTTGGGCTTCGATTATTTTCACACATTGCAAAATATTTTCTACTATGTCAATCAAAATATACAAAAATCACAAAAGAACATATTTTCAAGGATTTTTTTTGCAAGGGCAACTTGGCAAAGTATCAATTCACTCTGTTTCAACGATATCTTCCACCGCTTAACTGAGGGAATATAACTGGAAATGTTACATTCCCTTAAGCGGTGGAAGATCTCGTTGAATTGTGGTACCTCCACATGGAATATGAACAAATGATCATACTCCCGAGTTCCCATGTCATATATGCCTGATATAGTTCAAATATCAAAGCATTACAGTGTATGTCAACTATAGCGTAGTTTAATTCGATGCTAAAAATATCGAAATCGACACTTACAATCCACCATCTTTAATGCGAAGGTTACGGCCGTTACCTTCGCTTGATACTGACCAGTGAAAGTTAATCAAAACTGGCCAACTTTTGGACATTGAAGTGACGTGTCTTTTTCAGAAAATGCTGTTTCAATTTCTCTGCATGGTTGGCCTATATTGTTATGGCTGCACTGCAACACCAACCACCACATCGTCCCCACTGACCTCACTAACATGGAACTATAAAAGAGATGTAAACCTAACGTATGGCATGTTCAGCAATTACAGAAATCTGAGACAGCTCAAACTCTCCTACAATACAAAGATATTGTATGTTCAATCTGGCGCCTTTTCTGGGTTACCATTACTGGAAAGTTTAGAACTTTCATACAACACATTCTTGAAAATTGAGTCAGGTGCATTCTCTGGCATGCCTTCATTGAAAAGATTCATTTTGAGGTACAATGATTTTGAAATTTTCCCAACTGATATGTTCAAGAACCTGACAAGTCTTATAACTCTTTACATCACATACAATGATATTCGGAAAATTGAAACTGGTGCGTTCTCTGATTTGCCTTCGTTAGAAACCTTTAATCCAAGATACAATGATTTTGGAGTATTCCCAAAACAGATGTTCAAAAACCTGGCAAATCTTAAAACCATCGATATGTCTTACAATGATGTATTGGAAATTGAGTCTGAGGCATTCTCTAACATCCCTTCACTGGGAAGTTTAGTTTTGATGTACAACGATTTTGAAATTTTCCCAACTGATATGTTCAAAAACCTCACAAGTCTCAAAATTCTTGACATCTCTTACAATGACATTCTAAAAATTGAGCCTGGTGCATTTTCTGGCATGCCTTCATTGGAAAGACTGAAATTACAGTATAATGATTTCACAATAATGAAATGTGGGATGTTCAGTGGATTTTCAACTCTCTCATATTTTGACTTCAATTACAATCATATATTAAAAATTGAGTCTGGTTTATGCCCTGGTTCAGAAACATTTGGAAAGCTATCATGGAGGTATAACAATTTCATTGTCGATAGAACACCATTGTCCTTTGCATTGTACTACACATTGATCAATTCTCCTGCGCCGACTACTCCACCATCTTTCAATGACACTACACCAGATGATGGGCTAGCAGTAATTGAGTTTGGGGAAATAATACAAGATGCAGTTTCTATAGGAAGAGATCTTCACAGATATGAGGTCGCGCTGGAAGAAGGATTGGCCAGTAGTGATGATCTGAAGAAACTGCTCGAGATCTCAAGAGCAAATGTGGAATATGTACAGGTAAATACAAATGTGCAATATGTACAGGTAAATACAAATGTGCAATATGTACAGGTAAATACAAATGTGCAATATGTGCAATACTGAGTATAAAAACTTTCAAATAAACTAACAACATGTATGGAATTCTAAACAATGGTACAGACATCCAAGCTGGATTAGTGTATGCTTTCATATAACCTCACATGGAACATCACATTGTACTATCAACTTTTAACGGTCATGTATTGGATTCTGCAAATGAGGTCAATAATTTGAAGCATGGTTATGATAACATATGGATGTCCTTTGATAATCACAGAGTACGTTTGACTCAATAATAATCTAGTTTTTATATAAGCATCAGCAATGTAATAAAGATATATTAATATTAACGTATTTAACGAATGCATTTATTGGTTTCAGAAAAAGGTTGACTACAAACCTAATTCATGGAATAACAATACAGATTCCATCAAAAAGTTCAAGGAAGACTTCTTGAACCAAATCAGAAATATCCTCATCTACTCAGCGGGTGCCTCGTCGAAAGCAAAATTACAAGCAGCCATGTCCATTTTTAGAGCGAAACGCTTGGATTTGAATCGATTCATACAACGTTATAGTCCCACGACAACAACACTATCTGTGATTTCAGGTATGCACACATGTACATATTGAAAATAATAATTTGATAAACACAATTCCAGACAACTGATATGACAAGAAGACAACTAAAAGACACAAGCAATCCAATGTTGAAGCTGCACACTTGTCAATGCAGGATCATTTGAACAGATAAAATGTACATGTATATTAGTCCATCAGCCTGGGGGGTTGGTCGGTATCAAATCAGGGGAATAATCAAGAGTTACATATTGTTTTGGCACCCATTTTGGTGGCCATCTTGAATTTCTATAAAAAGTAATTATTTGATAACTTAGATTTAGACATAAATGAAACCATTGTCCCTTACAAAAATATATATGGTGTACAAAAATCACTGTTCTTAATTGTTCTTTGAGCTTAAATCAATAGTTTCATATTTATTTTGGCACCCATTTTGGTGGACATCTTTGATTTCTATATAAAGTAATTGTTTGATGACTAGGATTTAGACATAAATGAAATCCTTGACCCCTAAAACGTGGACATGATCTCCAAAATCACTGTCATCAACTGTTCTTTGAGCTTAAATCAATGTTAACATATTCGTTTCGGCACGCATTTTGGTGGCCATCTTGGATTTTTTTAAAAGCTATTATTTGATGACTTCGATTTAGACATAAATGAAATCATTGACCCCTAAGATGTACAAATGGACTCCAAATCACTGTTCTTAAGTGTTTTTTAGCTTAAATCAGAAGTTACATATTCGTCATGGCACATAGTTTGGTGGCCATCTTGGATTTCTATGCAAAGCAATTATTTAATGACTCGAAGGTTTAGACATAAATGAAATCCTTGACCCTAAAATGTACACATGGGCTCCAAAATCACTGTTCTAAGGTGTTTTTAAAGCTTAAATCCGAAGTTACATATTTGTTTTGGCACTCATTTTGGTGGCCATTTTGGATTTCTATGAAAAGTAATTATTTAAAGACTCAGAGCGTTAGACATAAATGAAATCCTTGGCCCCTAAAAGGTAGACATGGGCTCCAAAATCACTGTTCTTAAGTGTATTTTTGAGTTTAAATCAATAATTATAAATTCGTCAGTTTGGCACCCATTTTAGCAGCCATTTTGGATTTCCATGAAAATTGATTATTTGATGACTCCAATTTAGACATAAATGAAATCCTTGACCCCTTAAACCCAAACATAGATTCTAAAATCACAGTTTTTGTATCTCAGTATGCTAGTTGGATACACCTACTTTTATATTGTAACTCGTGCACCGGCGGCCATTTTGAAAAATGGTTGATAACACCCATTTAGATACAACTGTTACAATGCTATCACACATTTTCTTACTTTAGAGGTCTTAACCTTCCCAAAAATCACTATGGTGATTATTCCCCTAACTTGATACTGATAACCTAAATTTTGGGGCGAAGCTGATGGCCTATATTACCACGGACATTAATTAAGATAGGTTGTGTTATGGTTTTGATAGGTCCCTATATACTTTGCAATGTTAGCGATGTTTTCTGTTGCAGAAGAGCGTAAATGTCCCGTGTGTTTGAAGAAACCTCCACGTGACATAAATTGCGTTGTCTGTAAAGCTGAAAATGGTAATTATGTTTTTCTTATATTTGGTTCATATTATCTCAAATACATAAAAATTGTATAATATTATAATCTAGTGCACACTTTTGTAAAGACCATTTTTAAGTCTGCAGTATTATAAATAGACCTTTAATTGTTGTGTCGAAAAACAATACAGGTATATGACTTCTCCCGTCCTCTAATCATTTTTAAAATTAAAATTTTTCAGCATTTAAAGTCTTGGTACCTTCGAAACGTAAGTTGATGGTTTTGTTGGATATAAGACCAGAATCTGGTCCAAAAAGGATAGACAAACGTATCGACTACAGTTTGGATCAAGGCTGTGATTGCAATGTAATATCGTCTGCAGGTAATTGATAGCTGGCTACGTACATTGTACTTTTATTAAACCTTTATAATTGCAATGTAATATCGACTGCAGGTAATTGAAAGGTACATTGTACTTTTATTAAAACTTTATAATTGCAATGTAATATCGGCTGCAGGTAATTGATAGCTAAAGTGTACTTTTATCAAACCTTTATGATTGCAATGTAATATCGGCTGCAGGTAATTGAAAGCTACATTGTACTTTTATTGAACCTTTATAATTGCAATGTAATATCGGCTGCAGATAATTGATAGCTACATTGTACTTTTATCAAACCTTTATGATTGCAATGTAATATCGGCTGCAGGTAATTGAAAGCTACATTGTACTTTTATTGGACCTTTATAATTGCAATGTAATATCGGCTGCAGGTAATTGATAGCTACATTGTAATTTTATTTAACCTTTATAATTGCAATGTAATATCGGCTGCGGGTAATTGAAAGCTATTTTGTACTTTTATTAAACCTTTATAATTGCAATGTAATATCGGCTGCAGGTAATTGATAGCTAAAGTGTACTTTTATCAAACCTTTATGATTGCAATGTAATATCGGCTGCAGGTAATTGAAAGCTACATTGTACTTTTATTGAACCTTTATAATTGCAATGTAATATCGGCTGCAGGTAATTGATAGCTACATTGTACTTTTATTAAAACTTTATAATTGCAATGTAATATCGGCTGCAGGTAATTGATAGCTACATTGTACTTTTATCAAAACTTTATGATTGCAATGTAATATCGGCTGCGGGTAATTGAAAGCTACATTGTACTTTTATTGGACCTTTATTATTGCAATGTAATATCGGCTGCAGGTAATTGATAGCTACATTGTAATTTTATTTAACCTTTATAATTGCAATGTAATATCGGCTGCGGGTAATTGAAAGCTATTTTGTACTTTTATCAAACCTTTATGATTGCAATGTAATATCGGCTGCAGGTAATTGAAAGCTACATTGTAGTTTTATTTAGCACCAATGCCCATATATAGATTCTTGATTATTTTAGCATGCTTAATTATAGCACTGATGCCCATATATTGAATCGAAGCTCCTTCTAGATTGTTTAGATGGATTGGTTCTATTATTTTTTTTCTAGTTGACTGGTTCTTTTACTTATTTCTAGATTCTTGATCGTTTATAGCATGCGTAATTACAGCCGATGCCCATATATATGGAACCGAAGCTACATAGCTCATTTGGACTGGTTCTCTTACTTATTTCTAGATTCTTGTTGATTATTTATGGCTAATACCTAATCTTAATTATAGCGCTAATTGCCTTACCAAAATGTCGGCACATTAAAATTTGAATGTTCTTTTCATTCAGGCCCAAGTGACAAACTTCTAATCCTCACAAGTTCGAAGATGCCTAAGGAAAGTCTAACAAACATATTTCTAGACGACCAGGTGACACTCATCAGAATTGACCCTAAAGCAAATTGGCCATGGGCAATAGTAAAGGCTATCAAAAAGAAGAAATGTCGTGGATGAAAGAACAAAGGTCTATATACATGACACTGTGTGATGTTTTGCTATTTGTATTAATTGAGAGTTTATTTATGTCTACAAGCTCGGAACGTGTACATGTATTACTTTCCGATTCCTGCTTGGTTAACAATCGTTATAAATACATGTATGCACACGTATATATCCAAGAGAGGGCTTTCCTTTAGTTTTATTTCCATTTCTGTATGCAATAGTCTAGCTCCAAGACTCTGTGACCCCCCACTAAACTAAACACCTTCTCACGCAGAGAGGGGTGTGTTAAGGGGGGGGGGTCACAGGGGCTTGTAGCTAGACTATGTATGCAATTTATGTATTTTCTTGTATACACCGTAGTCTTTAAATCTGTTTAAATCAGATTACGTATTCACTTTATCTCAGATTGTCTGAGTTGACTAAAGGGAATATTGTATAAGATGGCGGGCCCCCGAGTTCCCCAAAAATTAAGTTGCATTCATTGAGGATTGAAAATGGGAGTTGTGTATTGTTAATTGAGATGTCACCGATGTTACTACTAGTGACAGTGCGCAAAACTGTTTGTAAATAGATACTGTCTCAAATAAAATGACGCCTAGTCTTGTTCAAAATAGATTATATTGTCCTTTCAATATTATGTTTGGCTGTCCATATTTCTAGACTGAATAGCTATCAATCACTGCAATTTATCCTATAATGCTTGTGATTTTTATATGACACGTGTATAATTTATACAACTTCAAGTAAAATGACTATTGTTGTTAAACTAGATGAATCCCGCAGGTTTGGGACAAAATATGAAACCTTTCACACGACACAAGTAAATACACGACTTTGGTCTAAGAGAGCGAAAAGAAACTGATAGACTTCCTGTAATTGATATATAAACCCATTTATTTGACATACTCTTACACACGTTCTTTGGATATAAACTGTATTTGACATACTCTTACACACGTTCTTTGGATATAAACCCCTTCATTTGACATACTCTTGCACACGTTCTTTGGATATAAACTGTATTTGACATACTCTTCTTACACACGTTCTTTGGATATAAACTGTATTTGACATACTCTTCTTACACACGTTCTTTGGATATAAACTCCTTTATTTGACATACTCTTCTTACACACGTTCTGGGGATATAAACACCTTTATTTGACATACTCTTACACACGTTCTGGGGATATAAACACCTTTATTTGACATACTCTTACACACGTTCTTTTGGATATAAACTGTATTTGACATACTCTTACACACGTTCTTTGGATATAAACCCTTTTATTTGACATACTCTTACAAACGTTCTTTGGATATAAATTGTATTCGACATACTCTTACACACGTTCTTTTGATATAAACCCCTTTATTTGACTTACTCTTACACACGTTCTTTGGATATAAACTGTATTCTTTTGATACAGAAATTCCAAAAGAAATATCTGGAATATATTTTTACACTAACATGACAGATGATTTTTGTAAAGGTGTGTACAGTAGACAAACTTGACCAATTTTTTTCAAAACATTCAACATTTATTTCAAAAAAGATGTTTCCATCTTGCTGTTCTTGGATTTTTAAAGCAGATACAAGAAATCGGAGATTTCCAGAGGAGAAAATCTCGTATTCAGTCATTAGTAAAGCCTCTTGTATTTTAATATACTTTTGGGAAATATAAAGCAAGTTTTATTATCGGAGACGCATGACTTTGCTCAATATAGCTAAACATCTCAGAATCCCCAATGCAAAATATGTAGTGTTTCAGTGTCCTCGTATTTCTGTAATGGTAAAGTCGGTGTCTAATGTCTGCCACACTCTGCAGGAGGTAAAAATACGTTAGGATCAGAAATTCCAAGGGTGATGTCATAAAAACTGGAAAATATAATAATAAAATATTTGTAACTGATGATCACTAATATATTAGCTTACGTCCACGGCCATGTGCCAACTACACACTGGATTAACAAATTTCAACGTGTTCCTGGTAATTTTGTTTCTTGGTCCGTTTCGATTTCTTATATGAAGATTCTATTGCCAAGCTGAGGCGTAATGTCTTGATATTATTCGATACAATGGAAAATTGACTTGATGAGCGGTAAAGCCAAATTAAAAAAAACGTTCTGACAAGAAACTTGTCAATCAAAATTTGAAAACGTTAAAGATTTACATTGAAAATCGCAAATGTATTCGGTATAGATCGATGTGAAACACGTTTTCCAAACCATCCAATTGTAAAAGCATATAGACAAACTTAGGCATCCAATAAGTTATGGATATCCTGCTTGTCCTGGATAAATCCAAATTGTTAAAGGATGTGTCCGGATATATGCCCTTTTGGTCCCTCAGTCAAATGTATTTGAAATATGGTTTTTATTACTGTCCTAGTTATATTTGATAAGTATATTTACTTTTCACGAGTTTTGATGCATAATTAACCCCTTGCTGAGAGTCAGAATAAGTATCTTAACAAATGAAAAAGGGTCATTTATCATAGAAAAAACACCAATGGCAACATATATGACATACAAAGAAGAAATAACTTAAGACCCGTGAAGAATTAAAAAGAAAATCATATTTTTGAAATATATTTAAGGATTAAATTTTTTTTTTCAAATTTTTGAATTTCCCGCCAGTTTAATTTGAAGGGGGAAAAACAAGATGGCTGCCGTTTGATGAAAGAAATATCAGAAAAAAAGTTGCTTCACTTTTAGTTTTCACAATGAGCACAGTTTTCCGGTTTAGGTTTTTTGACTGATTCTGACTCTTCATCACCAGGGTCATGTATAGAGATTATAAAATTGAAACCAAAATGTTGTGCTCAGCATGAATTTTACTGAAATATGTGTAACTCCACCAACACAATTGAAGTCTCAAAACTGGATGCTCAGTAACTTTGAGTGACTATAATACCATTCAATGTCTATACAAAGAAAGCAAGCAATATTTTGGAGGATATGTTTCAAACTTTTTGCATAAAAAATTCATTTAATATTTGCCATTGATTTTTTTTTCAATTCTGACAAAGTGATATGCACTGTCTTTGATGCCAATATTCTTCATCAATTGTGATACAAATTGATATTTTTGTAATCTCAGAAGAAGGATAAGATATCGAAGTTTAATAATATGTGTGATTGAGTTGGTTTTTCAGACATTACAATTTTCAATATTTTCTAAGTCGATACCCAGCAGACTCATTCCCAGACTCATCCTTTTGTTTGTAACCGGTATAGTATCCGTCTTACGAGAGACTGGACGAGAGGAACAATTGTATAGTTATTTACAGTACAAGCACTTACTGGATCGAGGTATAGTTGACTCTATTGTGCCAGAGATGGTCCCATACAGGCACGCAGCCATCCACAGCCCATTGACCAGTCCATAAACCTGAAATACACCATTATTTAGTCTAGAAATAGTAGGTGGGAGGGGGAGGGGCAACTGCGAGCGGAATAGTAAACCCCAGGCCGAAACTCAGCATATTGCATAAGTATACTAAGAAGCAAGCAGGGTGTTGTAAAGTTTCAGAAGAATTGATAAAATGTGGGTAAAGTAATGGTTACTATAGTAGCATGACATCACAATACCGAGGCAACTTTTCCGTGAAAATGTGATATCTAACAATTTTGTATTATTGAAGAAAGTATCTAATTCATCTCTTACAACGTGTTTCAACCATGGATTCAGAGTGTTACTCGTGTACTGACCAAAGAGGAGACTACTTTTCAAAGTAAAGGATACATAGGAATATCAAATGATGTTAAACAAATTTATTTCTCACCAGTTGTTGCATTTTAACTTTGATATGGGATGTATGTATGTATGTATGTATGTATGTACAAAATGCTTTAAGTCTTCGAACTTTCTGCGAATGTTGCCCCGGGTATTCTGATGTCATGTTACCATCCATAACTCTTCCCGAGTTTCATAAATTTTGTCGAAACTTTGCAGTTCTAGTTACAATACATGAAAGTACATTATGTACACTTTTGAAGACAAATGGTGCATATTTAACAAAATACCAGCACCAGTCCTGTTACTTTTGGAACACCCTGTTATCAAATTATATTTGGAATTAACATTTTTCCTGACGGACATGTGCTCTTACCATTATCACGATCAGATAGAGTTGCTTCCCATAATCCAACCAGAACACCAGAGCCTAGAAGTGCTGAGCTACCGACGTAGGCTTCACCCATGCTTTTTGCACCCAGTGGGATCTCAAAAACTCGAAAACGCTCAGTCAACGGGCGTCTTTCACATTTCTTGGTTCTTAGATCAACTACGTATTCAACATTCTGAAAAGCAGACGATTTGAGAATAGGCCGCGTTACCACTGGAGATAGAGCCCATAGTTATTACCCATTACATAAAAAGAAAACGTATTTGAATTGTACCGACCTCCCTATGAAGACGAAGTGTATCATAAAATTCTGTCTTTCCATTAAGGAAGACTCTATCGACCCAACGTGTTCTTTCCCCCACTCCATCGTATGTGAGTTTAGCTCTCGTCTCAATTCCATCGGTGTGGTCGTGCTAAAACGTTAATTAAATTATGATAATTCATGTGAAACTATACTAGACTAGATGCACAGACTATACATAAGACTAGATATTTACTTTTAAAATGGTCATCGCTATACAGGGCGTATCAAAAAAACGCAACAAGTAGATATCTCGTAAAATCACAAAACTAGTGATGAATACATCAATTTCATTTAATGTACCATAAAGCCACGTCTCTCCTCTGTGCAATGATATGTCATTCATTCACATGTGGTAATGGTTGGGTGAGTAATCCTTCCAATTGCACAGTGGGTCAAGATCGGCTCTGCACCAAGTTTTAGATATTGAAAAAATCAGTGCAAGGGCTAAGTGCCAATGGAAGTTTGAAATGTTGTGACTTTTTCTTTTGGAGATATCTCAGGAGCATCTGTGCTCACAATTTCCTCCACCAGATATTGCAAAACCTCGAGTAAAAATTGCCCATGGGCTGCTTTTCTCTGTTTTAACCCAGAGATGACTCAGGGCTGAACCATGCATGACGTGGACAGATGAGCGCATCTTCATGTGCGGCAATTTGGATGGGTATAGGATGTATTCTTGCAAGAGTATGAGTATGAACACTTCACTGTCTATGCCACACCTGTCACACCTTCTCCCAATAGCCCCTATGCCCCTTGTACTGACTTATACAATGTTTAAAACTTGGGTCTGAGCTGAATTTTGCCCCATTTTGCAAAATTAATGATTATTCGGCCAGAGATGACTCCCTGTGAATGAATGATATTCCATTGCAAAGAGGACTAAATTGGCTTTTTGGTACATTGAATGAAAAGGATGCAGTCAGCATTGGTTTTATGTTTTCTTCCAATATTGCATTGGGCTCCGAACACTGATTTTTGCGATGTTTATAACTTGGCCCCAAGCTAATTTTGGCCTACTTTGCAAATTTTGGTTAATTTTAAAAAAGTATCTTGTTAATGAAATAAAAGGTTTATCTTGATTTTTATCTATTTTGGGGGGATTTTTTTTTAATTTTTTGAATATTTTTTTTTTAATCAACCAAAAATTCCTTTGTATACATGTAATTATAATATTGAGAGGTCTAAAAGCATGTTGTATATGCTATTTTGTTCCAACAAGGTTCGGAAAGACATTTTATTTCATTCTCAAGAATTGGTAGAAAGGAGCGAAAACAATTGCACTAAAAAAACAAAAAATGTTAACAAAAACAGTTATGTAAAATATTTCTAAATAATTTTCGCATAAATTGTTGTCAATCAGTCAGCATTACATAAAATACCGTGATTTTACAGAATGTTTTCAATGATTGGTTTAAGAGAAAAACATTGTTGAATTCACTTCTCCATATCGATACCACTCCTTTCCATGCTCATGCGTATCACTTGTATGTCCTTATGATGACAATAATAGATTCGGGTTAACAGAATATCAGTGGATTTTCCGAAATGCTTAAAGTAAAATAGATCAAATTGACAATTAGACCCGACCGTTAGTCTCTGATTTTTACAGTCCTAGAATCAACTTGTTCAACAATTAGATATACATGTAACATGTGGCTATCCAGCCAGGGATCAAGCGGCAGGTATATTCAACAGAAGAACTTAAGGATTCAATTTGTAATAAAGTAATAGTGGTTGAACAAACTGACACTTACCATGGTAATTTCTCCCTCCCATTGCTTTGGTGTCTCTGAAAAAAGCATAATTTTAGAAAAGGGTTGATTGCCATTTATTCCAAAAGCTAAAGTTAACAAATACTAACACAGATCAATAGAATTAAAAGTTTGACATATCTTACATGTAGCCTACTTACCGCATCGCTGTGGCCCCTGTCCAAATGCAACAGCGACCAAGGAAAGAACGAACAACACATTCATCGTGTATCAGATGAGTTGATGCCTATTGTGTCTGAGTGAAACAATATCATATCGCTCGTATATCATGGGACTCTCTTGACACTTGTTCACATCTGTAGTTGACCCACTTTACCTATTTTAATAGACAATGCAGGGTTTCAGAAGATAAGCTTTGTGGGTGAAATAAGTTTTATAAATACCCTTGAACATACACTGATACGGGCATACAGTAGACGGGTCATGTAGTGGATGAATTCAAACATTTAGAATAATTTGCATCCGGGGATTACACTAAAATCAATTTGAAACTAATTTTCATGAACTTTATACAGTTGACATAAAAAGCGTCCGTGACCTCATCCCAATGTTTTGAAGCGTATTGATGTTTTTTAAATGGAAAACATGGCGAAATGCTTGAAAAACTCCCCCGATGCATTCTCCAAACAACTCCCGGTCCTTTCGCTCCATATTGCCATAGCTTCACTCAATATGCTTGACTGCTACTCTGTTACTTGTTTATTACTCTAAAATTCATTTAAGCGTAATAATAAATTTATTTAAGAGTAACATACAATTGATTGCTAATTATAGAGATAAAAGTATTATGGGTGAATTATGCTTGTATACATTTTCTACAATTTGGAAATCCGCAGTCAATAATTTTTTGGTCACTCATAACACCCCTGGTGTCAATTTTAGCCTCTAACTCGGAAAACCAAAGTTTTTCAATCGGATGGTGTAATATTGTTCATTTGGACATAGATATCTGGTATTTGAATAAAGCAGAATCAGAAAATAGGATAGTGCACAAGATATCGAATTGGCCACCTAATACACACATTTTAAGTATGTCGTTGACATTATGTACAAACATTACCTGCCACTATATTCCATTCATCGTATTTAAGTGAGTTGGTCACAAAAAAGTAGATTATCCGGTAGCCGACAGTCGAAAGTTGCATTCGCGTATATGTTGCTACTAGAAAACGACAACCCCAAAGCACTACTGCCCCCCAAAAAAGGTAAAATAATACAAAGATGGCCGCCACTTTTCAAAATGGCCACAACCTAGCCAAGTTGAATAAAGCCGGTATACACCAATGGGGCAAAATCCCACTTGCCCCATCGAGTCCCATCGAATCCCAACTTGCCTCATCTAATCCCACGAAGTCCCATGGGACCTTGATGACTGTGCCCCATCGAGTCCCATCGAATCCCAACTTGCCCCATTGAGCCCTATGAAGTCCCATCAGATCCCACGGAGTCCCATGAAGCAAATCACGTGATACGTCATATGATCTAAATCCCACGTGGGACTCCGTGGGATTTTGCCCCATCTTGCCCCATCGAGTCCCACGTGGGACTTCATGGGACCTCGTGGGACTCGATGGGGCAAAATCCGACGGAGTCCCATGGAGTCTTACACCAATGCGGCAAAATCCCACTTGTCCCATCGAGTCCCATCTTGCCCCATCCAATCCCAATTTGCCCCATCAAATCCCACCGTGTCCCATTGGTGTATGTTGGGCTTCACACAACACGTCATATGATCGAAAATCCCACGATGCCCCATGGAAAGAATGAACATGTTCATTCTCGATGGGACTCCATGGGATTTTGCCCCATCTTGCCCCAATGAGTCCCACGTGGGACTTCATGGACCTCGTGGGACTCGATGGGACAAAATTCCACGGAGTCCCATGGAGTCACACGGACTATGGGGCAAAATCCCATGCAATGTTAAGTCTATGGAGGTCCCAACTTGCCCCATTGGTGTATACCGAGCTTTAGTAGTCACATAAAAATTTTCAACAAAAAACGTAAAATAAGACGCATAACACAAATGGCGGCCATTTTTCAAAAGGCCACTAACTAGCCGACCAGAGGGCGCCCCAGGGGAATGATATTGAAAGTGTGCTAAATTCAATGCCCCATGTGTGAATCGAGCCTAGAACCCTTGGATCCAAAGACTGATGCTCTACACCGTGAATACTATGGAAATTTAATTATAAATATTTGAAAAGATAGTATTTATCATTAACGACCAGTATAAAACATTAACATTATAGGTTCAATTTAATTATAAAATTGTTGATTTATTGATTATTCCATGGCTATCATTCTTTTGTGCGAACATAAGTCAACTACGTTTACAAACTTGTAGAGAATGACAGGCAGTACGGTATAAATACAAAGAAAGTTAATAAAAAACACAAGGTATGGCATTCTGATACTCATAGCATCTTTCTGTTTCACCTGAGAAGAAATGAGATGTCATGGTTTATCATGAAGAATGTGTGGTGTGGCAAATGATTCAGACAGTTATATGCTTTACAATGAAATTATTCTGACCACACATTTGTCAATCTTTATTAAAATAATATGTTTTCTTCAAAGTAAAGTTATCAGACGTTAAAAATATCAATCCATTTTTCCAAAAATACATTATCTAAGACCTCATCTCAACACATTTCCGAAATTCGTATATTTTAAAATATGTGTGTGATGTAGGGTTTTCATAGAGTCCAACTGATACTAGATATAGTAATTTATTATCCTGTGAACCTAAATTGGAAAATGTATTATTTTTAAAAGTATTATGAACCATGTTAAATCTGTAAGATTTCACTCAGGAAGTGATGTCATCGACTCTCAACTTCCATAACCTTGCCTGTAACATTATAGGAAAGTATCACAAAATCATTTCTAGATGAGTGGTCCTTACTTTTGGCCTATTTGCAAAAATATTTTCAGAGCTTGTCAGCTTAGAATAAAGGAAGAGACTTTTAAATGGATTAAATCATTCACAAAATTGAAACAGAATATTCTACTGGAATTGAACACTACATTTTTATGTGATCAGTATTGACCCTATCAAAACATTTTCCGTGTTTTACTAAACAATGGAAGTATAAGGTTATGTTATAGCTACCATATTAGGAGAGAGATGCTCTGGCAAGGAATATCCCTTTAAGGTATATTTTTAAAAATCTGATCATCAATGCAATTATCAATCCTATTATGCAATATATGCCACATGGCTATTCTGTATTTAATTTAAGTCATGGTTAAAACATCGGGACAGCCTAAATTTCAGCAAATTTCAATGACTGAATATTGAGGTTACTTTCTCTAAGACTGAGTTTGAAGACAATTTGTTAAATTTCATCCTATCATCATGAGTATATAGGCTCTTTCCTCTGTCCCCTTATTAGTCCAGTCTTCTCTGTTGCATTTTCAGCGCTAGTGTCTTCCTGAATATTGCCATCATTTGCCTGAATTGTCATTAATTCTTCTGTTGGTTCCCGGCAACATGAGAACCATGGCATTGGCATAAGTCCATTATACATAGCCGTGCCAATCATTAAAAATAAGAACCCATCAATTTGTAAAAGTCCATATGTTGAATCAAATTCTTCACCAAAACTCTGAAATGCAAAATTACAATGATTTTTGAAGATGATAGGTAGTAGGGGTGTAACAAGGATCTAAAAGTAGGTGGTGCAAATTTTAAAAGACAAGGCAAAACAAAAGATATACTATTATTATACAACTATGGCATATTATTTTAGGTATGGCCCATGTACAGTACATGTAATGGATGACTGAAAACATTAGAGAGGTTTAGCAAGACGATTTTTTATGACGTGAACCGCAAACATAAACCTTTACGTTCCCGTTTACGCACTATGAACAAAAGTGCTTTAAGCTGAGCACATTAGACGTAACGTAAACCTTAAAATGTTTTTTCCTTTTTCTTAGGGGCCGTTCGTATTATTTTCTAATTTAAAAGTATAAAAAGTATAAAATATTACTTTATTAACAAATTGATGAAAGGAGATGTTTCACTGGCAGTGGCAGTGTTTTATGACATCTTGAATCTTACAAAATACAATATGTTAATACTAGTTCAATGTCGTCTTCCATGTATGTGTTGTCTCCATGCTGCTTAATTTAGTTGTTGGAATACAATATGTACAGTAGAATTAAGATGATTTGAGATGTGGGCAATTGCCATGTATGTAATCTCATCAGATTTTACATTATGAAATGGGAGCTTCAATATTCAAGTCATATTTGATTAGATTGGAGACAAATGATCTCGATACGTACACAGATTTGTGTCAAACATATTCATGCATTCGACCTACAGCTGTATATCATATTAAAATCGATCGAACTTGATAAAGTACTTAAAATCCTTTACGGAACGACCTAACTAGACTTTGATGTTTCAAGTTTGGATGTACGTAAACCGGGAAATAAGTAGAACAATTTGACATCACATCCCGAGAAAAACCTGCGTGCGCCTTCCCGTTCGCGGTTTACGTTGTAAAAAGTAGTGTTGCTTAACCTCTTTATTTATAGAATTTCAATACAGAATATCAATAGAACTTACTTTATCGAAGAAATAGTATATCACAAGCCCTGTTATCCACACTACAATGGTCCTACAAGCATCTATGAGAGTCCTGTGAACAGCTGCAATATTCAAATATTATTATAGAAATAGTATATCACAAGCCCTGTTATCCACACTGCAATGGTCCTACAAGCATCTATGAGAGTCCTGTGAACAGCTGCAATATTCAAATATTATTATAGAAATAGTATATCACAAGCCCTGTTATCCACACTGCAATGGTCCTATAAGCATCTATGAGAGTCCTGTGAACAGCTGCAATATTCAAATATTATTATAGAAATAGTATATCACAAGCCCTGTTATCCACACTGCAATGGTCCTATAAGCATCTATGAGAGTCCTGTGAACAGCTGCAATATTCAAATATTATTATAGAAATAGTATATCACAAGCCCTGTTATCCACACTACAATGGTCCTACAAGCATCTATGAGAGTCCTGTGAACAGCTGCAATATTCAAAAATATATTATTGATGCATTAATATTTATTTGTTTCAATATGGGAATACACAAAGCTATTACTCCAGGCTACAACCATGACTTCTGATTATGACAAAAGTGGATACATGTACATATTAATTTGATCAAAATCTGGTGATACATGTATTCAATGTATACAATATGTCAATCTACGCTATTTGTGTTTTGCTCAAATCTAATTTCTTTTTGGTTTAATTCCCTCAAAATATAATATTCACAAATAATCTTACACGAGAAAATGTCTTATTTTTCAGTACAACAAATCAGAAATATCTTATTAACAGGGATCTCTCTCACATTTTTGAAAAGTCCAACGTTAAGGGCTGCCCTAGAAATGACAGGAAAAAATAAAATGCATTCTGTATTTACTCCAGGTGGTAAAATCCCCATTTTCCCATTTTCAGTTTTATTTGTTCCTTTTCCCTAAACTTCCCTCATCACTCACCTGTTAAAGACTTTGTCACTGCCAGGCCAAAGTAATTGTAGAATGCAATAGAGAGAAGATACAAGAGGCAGAAGATGGCCAGTTTGTAATCATTCTTGATTTGATAGAGAGCGTCCAGACTGTTCTCATAACTACCATTGAGTTGAGATCCGGGGATGAAGTACATTGCTGGGAGAACAATCTGAAATAGAGTCAGCAGAATAATATGACATTGTAATGACACCAGGGAGTCAATAAAAGATATAAATATATAGAACACTCATAAAACATGCACACATGCAGTAATTAAGTATTTGTGACTGGTCATATAACATCACATGACCCAGAACAATGAATGGTCAAAACATTCTCATGACCATAAATTCATGAACTGCGATTGGACAACAAATCTACTTACAGCGCACATAATAATGATACCAAATGTTCCTTCTAGCCCGACAACCTAAAAATATGGAAGAAAACACCATGCAGAGAGATTATGTAATCCAATGGTGCCTGCAGAGAATTGTAATAATTGACTTATTATAATTTGTAAAATGTAGGTCTATATTCAAATCTGTCAATTCAATACTAAATCTATATTTAATAACATTCCTTTAAATGGATATTAAAACGCTTAGAGGACCTATGTGAATTTTGGCAACTTTGGCTAATATTGAGTATTTACAAACTTTGAATTGGGCCTTTGAAACAATGATTGGTGGTTATTGTACCTGCAAAGGTGGATAACCTCGTTTCTTGAGGAGAGCTTCTTCAACGATCATCTGGCTGGCACTGACTGCTTGGCCAGCTAGGATCATAGCGATGCCTAAATCATATTAAAGAAAGTGAAAACATCAATCTTGTCTTGAAGGAGTAATAAATCAAAATATCAGTATTATCAAGGTAAATAAAGTCTTTATAATATTCAGATAATTTTCAAATGGATGTGTATCTTTAAAAGATAGATGTAGGTAAGATTTCCGGTAAGATACATGTATAATAAGCTTACAAAATTGCAAGTTTGTGGATCCTTTAAATTGTACTGTTCTTACCCAGAAATGCTTTAGAATCAGCAGCAGCATTTTCATCCTTCAATATACTAGATATTCCAACAAGAGCCAGTCCTATGATCACAATGAAGATACCACTCCAGTGCATGCAACGTAATTTACGCTTCAGAAAGATTTTCTGAAAATATAGAAACAATTAATAACCTCTCAAGAGGCTAACTCAGCAGAGCCTCAATTTTGAATATAGTGTTTCATCAGTCTCACTAAAAGTATTTTCCAATTTAATCTACATCTAAAATCAGATACACTGTATCACTAAACACACATGACATATTGATCTGTGTAACATGAGAAAAGGACAGCATTTGACTCCAATTTCAAAGTGTAACCATTATTAACATGAGAAAAGGACAGCCTATGACTCCAATTCCAAAGTGTAACTATTATTAACATGAGAAAAGGACAGAATATGACTGCAATTCTAAAGTGTAACCATTATCAACATGAGAAAAAGACAGCATATGACTGCAATTCCAAAGTGTAACCATTATCAACATGAGAAAAGGACAGCATATGACTGCAATTCCAAAGTGTAACCATTATTAACATGAGAAAAGGACAGCATATGACTCCAATTTCAAAGTGTAACCATTATTAACATGAGAAAAGGACAGCCTATGACTCCAATTCCAAAGTGTAACTATTATTAACATGAGAAAAAGACAGCATATGACTGCAATTCCAAAGTGTAACCATTATTAACGTGAGAAAAGGACAGTGTAACCATTAGCTAATAACATGGATAAAGACAGCATATGACTTCAATTCAAAAGTGTAACCATTATTAACATGAGAAAAAGACAATATATGACTGCAATTCCAAAGTGTAACCATTATCAACATGAGAAAAGGACAGCATATGACTGCAATTTCAAAGTGTAACCATTATTAACATGAGAAAAGGACAGCATATGACTGCAATTCCAAAGTGTAACCACTATCAAAATGAGAAGAGGACAGCATATGACTGCAATTCCAAAGTGTAATTATTATTTACATGAGTAAGGACAGCATATGACTCCAATTTCAAAGTGTAACCATTATTAACATGAGAAAAGGACAGCCTATGACTCCAATTCCAAAGTGTAACTATTATTAACATGAGAAAAAGACAGCATATGACTGCAATTCCAAAGTGTAACCATTATCAACATGAGAAAAGGACAGCCTATGACTCCAATTCCAAAGTGTAACTATTATTAACATGAGAAAAGGACAGCATATGACTGCAATTCCAAAGTGTAACCATTATTAACATGAGAAAAGGACAGCATATGACTGCAATTCCAAAGTGTAACCACTATCAACATGAGAAGAGGACAGCATATGACTGCAATTCCAAAGTGTTATTATTATTTACATGAGTAAGGACAGCATATGACTCCAATTTCAAAGTGTAACCATTATTAACATGAGAAAAGGACAGCCTATGACTCCAATTCCAAAGTGTAACTATTATTAACATGAGAAAAAGACAGCATATGACTGCAATTCCAAAGTGTAACCATTATCAACATGAGAAAAGGACAGCCTATGACTCCAATTCCAAAGTGTAACTATTATTAACATGAGAAAAGGACAGAATATGACTGCAATTCCAAAGTGTAACCATTATCAACATGAGAAAAAGACAGCATATGACTGCAATTCCAAAGTGTAACCATTATCAACATGAGAAAAGGACAGCATATGACTGTAATTCCAAAGTGTAACCATTATCAACCTGAGAAAAGGACAGCATATGACTGCAATTCTAAAGTGTTTCATTATTAACATGAGAAAAAGACAGCATATGACTGCAATTCCAAAGTGTAACCATTATCAACATGAGGAAAAGACAGCATATGACTGCAATTCCAAAGTGTAACCATTATTAACATGAGAAAAGGACAGTGTAACCATTAGCTAATAACATGGATAAAGACAGCATATGACTCCAATTCCAAAGTGTAACCATTATTAACATGAGAAAAGGACAGTGTAACCATTAGCTAATAACATGGATAAAGACAGCATATGACTCCAATTCCAAAGTGTAACCATTATTAACATGAGAAAAAGACAATATATGACTGCAATTCCAAAGTGTAACCATTATCAACATGAGAAAAGGATGGCATATGACTGCAATTCCAAAGTGTAACCATTATTAACATGAGAAAAGGAGAGCATATGACTGCAATTCCAAAGTGTAACCACTATCAACATGAGAAGAGGACAGCATATGACTGCAATTCCAAAGTGTAATTATTATTTACATGAGAAAAGGATAGCATATGACTCCAATTTCTAAGTGTAACCATTATTAACATGAGAAAAGGACAGCCTATGACTTCAATTCCAAAGTGTAACTATTATTAACATGAGAAAAAGACAGCACATGACTGCAATTCCAAAGTGTAACCATTATCAACATGAGAAAAGGACAGAATATGACTGCAATTCCAAATTGTAACCATTATCAACATGAGAAAAGGACAGCATATGACTGCAATTCCAAAGTGAAACCATTATCAACATGAGAAAAGGACAGCATATGACTGCAATTCCAAAGTGTTTCATTATTAACATGAGAAAAAGACAGCATATGACTGCAATTCCAAAGTGTAACCATTATCAACATGAGAAAAAGACAGCATATGACTGGATTCCAAAGTGTAACCATTATCAACATGAGAAAAGGACAGCATATGACTGCAATTCAAAAGTGTAACCATTATTAACATGAGAAAAACACAGCATATGACTGCAATTCCAAAGTGTAACCATTATCAACATGAGAAAAGGACAGAATATGACTGCAATTCCAAATTGTAACCATTATCAACATGAGAAAAGGACAGCATATGACTGCAATTCCAAAGTGAAACCATTATCAACATGAGAAAAGGACAGCATATGACTGCAATTCCAAAGTGTTTCATTATTAACATGAGAAAAAGACAGCATATGACTGCAATTTCAAAGTGTAACCATTATCAACATGAGAAAAAGACAGCATATGACTGGATTCCAAAGTGTAACCATTATCAACATGAGAAAAGGACAGCATATGACTGCAATTCAAAAGTGTAACCATTATTAACATGAGAAAAACACAGCATATGACTGCAATTCCAAAGTGTAACCATTATCAACATGAGAAAAACACAGCATATGACTGCAATTCCAAATTGTAACCATTATCAACATGAGAAAAGGACAGCATATGACTGCAATTCCAAAGTGAAACCATTATCAACATGAGAAAAGGACAGCATATGACTGCAATTCCAAAGTGTTTCATTATTAACATGAGAAAAGGACAGCATATGACTGCAATTCCAAAGTGTTTCATTATTAACATGAGAAAAAGACAGCATATGACTGCAATTCCAAAGTGTTACCATTAGTTAGAGATTACATCAAAGCAATCAGTTTCATCATTAGCTAGTAACATGGACAAAGACAGCATATGACTATCTATTACAGGGTGGCCACACAAAATTGAAAAATAAATTCAACAGATTTCCAGAAAATTCCAGAGTTGATTTTTCATGAAAACGATATTCTGTAACCCTTTTATTTTAAACACTAACGAGGCATAAACATGCAAAATGTCACCACCTGCCATTTATTACAGATGCAGAATGCAAACCATCAAATACCATCTACAAAACTATTACAATATGTAAGGCATGAGGCAAAATTTCATATATGGTAATAATGTATTGCACAATTGGGTGCTATATTGTTATCAGTTTGCTGGATGGGTGCATGGGTATGTGGGCATCCCAATTAATTTTGTCTGTGCATTTCCAAATGAACAATCGAGATTGATTTAAAATTATCAAGAATGTCTCTTTGTATGGAAATTTAGACTTGATGCTGAAAAATCTTCTATTTCGCTTTCAATTTTAAAAATGATAGATTAGCTATTTTTGACACCTGAACCCATCATAATAAAAAGGTGAAACCTTTTTCTTGAGACATGTAGATTGAAATCTCTCCCTTGAAGTTGCTTAAGGCAGCTATTTTGAATTCTGCTTATTCAATTTGATCACAGGATATTCAGATTTTCAGTATTTCATGCTTTATTTACCACTTTTGACATTTTTAGAAAAATGAAAATTCCCAAACTCATGTTCATTTTCCAGTGCTTTCCAGAGTTTTTTTTGTCAAATTCTAGTGTTTTCCAGAAACTAGAATTTATTCTACTTTTCTAGTAAATTCCAGAGCTGTGGCCCCTTTGTCCCTAAGTATCAGTATATAAAACTTGAAACAAATCCATCCTCTGGTATTTGAGTTATCAAAGGTTATGTTCTTTTACGAATAAATGACAACCATTTTGAAATTCAGCAGCCATCTTGAAAACATTTTCTTGAGCAGAGCTCCTTTGTTCCTACCTAGGCATCAGCATATAAAATTTCAAACAAGTATGTCCACTGGTATTTGAGATAGCAAAAATTACGTTTTTACCAAAAATGGTTGCTTTTTTGAAATTCAGCTGTCATCTTATCAAGCAGAGCTGCTTTCTCCCTTATGGAAAATGGATGTTGAAAATCTCTTCTTCAGCAAAGCTCCTTCATCCTTGGGTATCACCATTTAAAATTTGAACCAAATCCATCTGGCGTCAACTTGTATTTGTGTTATCAAAGATTAGATTTTCAACAAAAAATGACAGCAATTTTTAAATTGAGAGGCCATATTGAAAATTCCTTCTTGAGCAGAGGTGCTACACCCATAAGGTATAAGCCTAGTGTAACTTAAGAAGGGGACAGCATTTGACTGCAATTCCAAAGAGTAAACCATTTGTAACAGACACTGGGGGTCATCATATAAACATCACTTACTGATAACAGCCCTGCAAATATTATGATTGAACCACGTAGCATCTGCCAAACTGAGGCATTCACATAAAGCAGACCAATACCTGCAAAGTTAAGAAAATGCAGTGAATTAATATAAAGACTTGATACAATAGTACTCATGATAGGGGGCTAATGGGGGCTTTTGGGTCTAAATGCATCTTTTTATTAGGAAATTGGCCATCACCTGGACTTTTAAGAGCTCTTGAAAGTGCATGGCCTTCATAATAGCGCTGTGCCTTCATTACGGTTTTGAATGGATCAAATTGAGAATTATAATAAAAAAGGGTCCTTTTTCAAGCTCACAATGTCCAGGATTGATTCCATACTAAGAACCATTATCAATTACATGTACATGGCATGGTATATAAAGTGTTCTATGTAAGGATTGAATAACTTTACATGTACATGGTATGGTATATACAGTTTTCTATGTAAGGACTGAATAACTTTACATGTACATGGTATGGTATATAAAGTGTTCTATGTAAGGACTGAATAACTTTACATGTACATGGCATGGTATATAAAGTGTTCTACATAAGGACTGAATAACTTTACATGTACATGGTATGGTATATAAAGTGTTCTACATAAGGACTGAATAACTTTACATGTACATGGTATGGTATATAAAGTGTTCTACATAAGGACTGAATAACTTTACATGTACATTGCATAGTATATAAAGTGTTCTACATAAGGACTGAATAACTTTACATGTACATGGCATGGTATATAAAGTGTTCTACATAAGGACTGAATAACTTTAAATGTACATGGTATGGTATATAAAGTGTTCTATGTAAGGATTGAATAACTTTACATGTACATGGCATGGTATATAAAGTGTTCTACATAAGGACTGAATAACTTTACATGTACATGGTATGGTATATAAAGTGTTCTATGTAAGGACTGAATAACTTTACATGTACATGTACATGGTATGGTATATAAAGTGTTCTATGTAAGGACTGAATATCTTTACATGTACATGGTATGGTATATGAAGTGTTCTATGTAAGGACTGAATAACTTTACATGTACATGGTATGGTATATAAAGTGTTCTACATAAGGACTGAATATCTTTACCTGCCAAACTGGTTCCAACTAAATCAAAACAAGTTGGGATTGCAAGGATTATCTGGAACACCCTGTAAGTTCAAGGATAATCATTATTTAATAATTAAAGTATGGTTCACCCTGTAAGTTCAAGGATAATCATTATTTAATAATTAAAGTATGGTTCACCCTGTAAGTTCAAGGATAATCATTATTTAATAATTAAAGTATGGTTCACCCTGTAAGTTCAAGGATAATCATTATTTAATAATTAAAGTATGGTTCACTCTGTAAGTTCAAGGACAATTAATGTAAATTCATATCATCTGGAATTGCTATAAAAAATTCCAAAAAATGAATTTGATCCATATTTAATTAGCATGTTGCGCCTGCTCTGAGCAAAACATGTATTTATATTTTGATTTAATATAAAAATATAAAATATAGCTCCATTCCATGTACTCATAAGTTGATTCACTTTATTTGATGAAAAATGTAAATTTTTCCAAAACAAGGTTAAACTAGAAGCAGAAACTATTGCCTGGTATAAGTTATCAATATGGACAGACAGACTTCAACTATGACAGATGAGTGCTATATTGAAGTCTATTGAAGGATGAAAACGCTGCTGCTGGCTAACCATGTAGAACTGAAATTATATAATAAAAATTACCTAGGTAGTTTAGGAGGATGGTGTACAACATCCTGAGATTCTAGCAGCTTTTGAGCATACTGAAAAACAACAGAAAATACATGAAGGTTCATAATGTAAAATGCTTGACACCTAATTAACCAGATGGGAGGAGGTAGTTACCAGTTTCACCACTACAGGCCTGTCAACTGTCCCGCAATTTGCGTATTTGTCACGCATTTGCTGAAGAATTTGAAGTCACGCCAGTTTTTTTTGCGTGACAGAAAATGTCACGAAAACTTTTCAAAATATGTTGACGATACGGTGAAAATACGAACGTCGGAAAAAACCGAACGCAATTTGTTCGGATTTGTCACGCGAATCCCGTATGTGTCACGCATGTTAATTGGAAATTTTCGTACCTACCCCCCCCCCCCCCCCCCCCCCCCCCCCCGTTGAGGATATCGCGAGCGTAGCGCGCGCGAAAAATTGAGGTGTCCAAAATTTGATTAAATGCAATAAAATTGAAAACAAGGTGCTCAAATTGTGGCCAAGATGTTCAGATTTGGACCAAGGTGTCCAAAATTTGAACAAAGGTGTTCAACATTTGCAAGTCACTCATGTTAGGTGTCCCCAAGTTGACAGGCCTGCCACTAGGTGGCTGATTCAGGTTAATAAATATGGCAGGTATAAGTTCCATAAAAGTCAAATATTATCAGTTTAAGTGGATCAATTTTCATATAGTCTTTATATGTGTCTGATAATTATACAAACAAAAATATGTCCAGTCAAAGAAAATATTATCTGCCCAACACATTTTGTAACCTGGAGTCTATGGGGAATCTCTCGACCTGAAAGTCAAATTTTCAAAGTTGGTAAATACTTTTTTAAAACCACATTTCTAGATGCAATTTTACATGTAGACTCAAATATGATCTCCCTTTCACTAAATTTTGAATATTTAATGAAGTAAATCTAGATTATTTCTACTTGCATCTAGTATATTAATTAATAGCAATTGCCATTCTAACACAAAAGTACAGAATCGACTGCAATCAAAGAATTATTGTACAAACCTCCACTTGTAATTTTTTTCTTTCTTTGTGTCTGGAGATAAAAAGTCCTATAAGACACAGAGCTTCACCTGAAACATACCAAAAGGCACATGAAAATATACATGTTCTGTTTGTAGACATGCACATCTTTATCTAAATTTCAGAATAGGAAGTTATTTTATTTATCAAGACTTTTCTGATTTAAGACACCCTCTTACATATGGAAGTTTCTATCTTAAAGTCAAACATTATGACACAGGTCTCCACTCCACTATACATTGTAGTACTGTAGACATAAAAACTTTAAAGCTTTGGTTCTTCATATTCCATTTTGTTCATTTTAGTTCAATGCAACTAGAGAACTCAATGTAGTTAATGACAAAAGTGGGTTGTAGCCACTGATGTGCCATGTCCATCCTGATGTGTGGTTGTGAAGAACAGTACAGCCCTAGTTATTAGATAATGACAAAAGTGGGTTGTAGCCACTGATGTGCCATGTCCACCCTGAAGTGTGGTCGTGAAGAACAGTACAGCCCTAGTTATTAGTTAATGACAAAAGTGGGTTGTAACCACTAATGTGCCATGTCCATCCTGAAGTGTGGTTGTGAAGAACAGTACAGTCCTACCTATTAGATAATGACAAAAGTGGGTTGTAGCCACTGATGTGCCATGTCCATACTGAAGTGTGGTCATGAAGAACAGTACAGCCCTAGTTATTAGATAATGACAAAAGTGGGTAGTAGCCACTGATGCGCAATGTCAACTCTGAAGTGTAGTCGTAAAGAACAGTACAGCCCTAGTTATTAGATAATGACAAAAGTGGGCTGTAGCCACTGATGTGCCATGTCCATACTGAAGTGTGGTCATGAAGAACAGTACAGCCCTAGTTATTAGATAATGACAAAAGTGGGTTGTAGCCACTGATGTGCCATGTCCACCCTGAAGTGTGGTCGTGAAGAACAGTACAGCCCTAGTTATTAGATAATGACAAAAGTGGGTTGTAGCCACTGATGTGCCATGTCCATACTGAAGTGTGGTCATGAAGAACAGTACAGCCCTAGTTATTAGTTAATGACAAAAGTGGGTTGTAGCCACTGATGTGCCATGTCCACCCTGAAGTGTGGTCGTGAAGAACAGTACAGCCCTAGTTTTGATGTGCCATGTCCATACTGAAGTGTGGTCGTGAAGAACAGTACAGCCCTAGTTATTAGTTAATGACAAAAGTGGGTAGTAGCCACTGATGCGCAATGTCAACTCTGAAGTGTAGTCGTAAAGAACAGTACAGCCCTAGTTTTGATGTGCCATGTCCATACTGAAGTGTGGTCGTGAAGAACAGTACAGCCCTAGTTATTAGATAATGACATGAAGTGTGGTCATGAAGAACAGTACAGCCCTAGTTATTAGTTAATGACAAAAGTGGGTAGTAGCCACTGATGTGCCATGTCCATCCTGAAGTGTGGTCGTGAAGAACAGTACAGCCCTAGTTATTAGATAATGACAAAAGTGGGTAGTAGCCACTGATGTGCCATGTCCATCCTGAAGTGTGGTCGTGAAGAACAGTACAGCCCTAGTTATTAGTTAATGACAAAAGTGGGTAGTAGCCACTGATGTGCCATGTCCACCCTGAAGTGTGGTCGACACTGGTCGTGAAGAACAGTACAGCCCTAGTTATTAGTTAATGACAAAAGTGGGTTGTAGCCACTGATGTGCCATGTCCATACTGAAGTGTCTTCGTGAAGAACAGTACAGCCCTAGTTATTAGTTAATGACACAAGTGGGCTGTAGCCACTGATGTGCCATGTCCACCCTGATGTGTGGTCGTGAAGAACAGTACAGCCCTAGTTATTAGTTAATGACAAAAGTGGGTAGTAGCCACTGATGTGCCATGTCCACCCTGAAGTGTGGTCGTGAAGAACAGTACAGCCCTAGTTATTAGTTAATGACAAAAGTGGGTAGTAGCCACTGATGTGGCATGGCCATCCTGAAGTGTGGTCGTGAAGAACAATACAGCCCTAGTTATTAGTTAATGACAAAAGTGGGTAGTAGCCACTGATGTGCCATGTCCATCCTGAAGTGTGGTCATAAAGAACAATACAGCCCTAGTTATTAGTTAATGACAAAAGTGGGTTGTAGCCACTGATGTGCCATGTCCACCCTGAAGTGTGGTTGTGAAGAACAGTACAGCCCTAGTTATTAGTTAATGACAAAAGTGGGTAGTAGCCACTGATGTGCCATGTCCATACTGAAGTGTCTTCGTGAAGAACACTACAGCCCTAGTTATTAGTTAATGACAAAAGTGGGTTGTAGCCACTGATGTGCCATGTCCACCCTGAAGTGTGGTCGTGAAGAACAGTACAGCCCTAGTTATTAGTTAATGACAAAAGTGGGTAGTAGCCACTGATGTGCCATGTCCTCCCTGAAGTGTGGTCGTGAAGAACAGTACAGCCCTAGTTATTAGTTAATGACAAAAGTGGGTAGTAGCCACTGATGTGCCATGTCCTCCCTGAAGTGTGGTCGTGAAGAACAGTACAGCCCTAGTTATTAGTTAATGACAAAAGTGGGTTGTAGCCACTGATGTGCCATGTCCACCCTGAAGTGTGGTCATGAAGAACAGTACAGCCCTAGTTATTAGTTAATGACAAAAGTGGGTTGTAGCCACTGATGTGCCATGTCCACCATGAAGTGTGGTCATGAAGAACAGTACAGCCCTAGTTATTAGTTAATGACAAAAGTGGGTTGTAGCCACTGATGTGCCATGTCCACCATGAAGTGTGGTCGTGAAGAACACTACAGCCCTAGTTATTAGTTAATGACAAAAGTGGGTTGTAGCCCCTGATGTGCCATGTCCACCCTGAAGTGTGGTCGTGAAGAACAGTACAGCCCTAGTTATTAGTTAATGACAAAAGTGGGTAGTAGCCCCTGATGTGCCATGTCCACCCTGAAGTGTGGTCGTGAAGAACAGTACAGCCCTAGTTATTAGTTAATGACAAAAGTGGGTTGTAGCCACTGATGTGCCATGTCCACCCTGAAGTGTGGTCATGAAGAACAGTACAGCCCTAGTTATTAGTTAATGACAAAAGTGGGTTGTAGCCACTGATGTGCCATGTCCACCATGAAGTGTGGTCGTGAAGAACAGTACAGCCCTAGTTATTAGTTAATAACAAAAGTGGGTTGTAGCCATTGATGTGCCATGTCCATACTGAAGTGTGGTCGTGAAGAACAGTACAGCCCTAGTTATTAGATAATGACAAAAGTGGGCTGTAGCCACTGATGTGCCATGTCCATCCTGAAGTGTGGTCATGAAGAACAATACAGCCCTAGTTATTAGTTAATGACAAAAGTGGGTAGTAGCCACTGATGTGCCATGTTCACCCTGAAGTGTGGTTGTGAAGAACAGTACAGCCCTAGTTATTAGTTAATGACAAAAGTGGGCTGTAGTCACTGATGTGCCATGTCCACCCTGAAGTGTGGTCGTGAAGAACAATACAGCCCTAGTTATTAGTTAATGACAAAAGTGGGCTGTAACCACTAATGTGCCATGTCCATCCTGAAGTGTGGTCATAAGAACAGTACAGCCCTAGTTATTAGTTAATGACAAAAGTGGGTAGTAGCCACTGATGTGCCATGTCCATCCTGAAGTGTGGTTGTGAAGAACAGTACAGCCCTAGTTATTAGTTAATGACAAAAGTGGGTAGTAGCCACTGATGTGCTATGTCCATCCTGAAGTGTGGTTGTGAAGAACAGTACAGCCCTAGTTATTAGTTAATGACAAAAGTGGGTAGTAGTCACTGATGTGCCATGTCCATACTGAAGTGTGGTCATGAAGAACAGTACAGCCCTAGTTATTAGTTAATGACAAAAGTGGGTAGTAGCCACTGATGTGCCATGTCCATCCTGAAGTGTGGTTGTGAAGAACAGTACAGCCCTAGTTATTAGTTAATGACAAAAGTGGGTAGTAGCCACTGATGTGCCATGTCCATCCTGAAGTGTGGTTGTGAAGAACAGTACAGCCCTAGTTATTAGTTAATGACAAAAGTGGGTTGTAGCCACTGATGTGCCATGTCCACCCTGTTTTCCCTTGGTCACTAAAGCCCTGTATACACTATAAATAAATTTTCAATCTTTACAATTGTTTCAATCGGTTCAATCGTTTCAATGCTTGCATCATTTCCTACGTTTCAATGCTTGCGTCATTTCGAGCATTTCAATCGTTTCAATAAATTCGCCTTTGAAATGAATTTAAAGTTTCGCTGTTTGCGCCTGTTTCGCCGTTTCAAGCATTTCAATCCAACGACCATTCATGAGGAAATAAGCGAGACGATTGAAAAGAAAAACGAACATGCACGTTTTTCGTTTCAAGCATTTTGAGGGGGCTTTTCAACCGTTTCAAGCATTTCAATCAATAAATCTCGAAAAATAAAATTACCGTTTCGCTGCTTTTGCCTGTTTCGCCGTTTCAAGCATTTCAATCAATTTGCCTAAGCTGTTTTATCATTCTCTTTCATTTCAACCATTTCAAGCAATTCACTTGCCAGTGTATACACCCCTTAAGACTATAGCAATGTAAGAATCTAAGGTTCATGGCTAATGGATTGATGGCAAAAAATAGGGCTCAACCAGATGTCCCCAAAACAGAGACATATAAACAGTGTATGCGTGGCCGTGGCACATGTTTAATGGGGCAGTAGTGCAATAGAATTTCCGGAGTAAACATGAAAAATGAAATCACACACCTAAAAACATGATGACAGTCTGGAACCATGGATGATCAAACTTGTGTGGGGTGGCTGTGTTGTTAGCTGAAATATTGGGATAGCCTGGAACTCTGAAAAATATACAAGATTATTGGTAGAGAAGACATACAATATCTTGAATCATAGGTTTTGGAAAGCACCCAATGATAGATACTTATCGGGAGGATGCATTGTATTGCAAAATATGTCACTTTTGCCATGTTTCAGAGACTCTATTATCGTCCACTTGATTTTTTGGAAATTCAAATTTTTCTGATTCATTCTTTAATATTTGGTCTTTCCTGAACTTTGTGAAGTAGGGTGGGCGCTTAATTCAGCGATTACCATACCAAACTTCTTAATAAATATCATAACACATTTCCTGTATACTCTACAAAAATACGCTAGGCGCATTTACACTCCCTGTAAACATCACATGGTCAACATCATGAACATGTCAGACTTTTCAGGGTTTTCATTTTGGCTGTGGCTGGAGAGCCTTAAATTTTAAGTTTCTTTAGCATTTCGGCTAAAGAGCCTTAGATTTTAAGGCTCTTTAGCATTTTGATAGCCAATTTTGATACCCTTCTCTTGAAAGCCTATGGTAACATTTAGACAGTATGGAATGTTTTGTTTTCCCCCGTATTCACCAATAAATGGGCCGCGCATTACCCTTTGCATTCGTTTGACTTCACTTCTTAAAAGAGAGCTTCGTCTTCACTCTTTCAAACTAAAATAAACCTGTGAACTCACCGCGCCAATCAGTGTTCGGTGGCCAAATTTGACCGATGTTCTATATATGGTCATTCCTTCTGACGTCATCGTTGAGCCCGGAATTGACCAATGACATGCGCATATTTAATTAGAACGCCTTTGGCGTATGTTTCTTCAAGCTCGCTGAATGGTGGAAGAAAGGCCACTGCATAGGTCAGAAGTGACTTATTACCCAAACTGTTACCGGTACCTGTTGTTGGGGCGGGGCTACTAAACTGTAATATGGTCTCTACTAGGCAGAGTGTAGTTTAACTAGACTCTGCACGCAGGGTAGTCACGCATAGCCATCCACATTGTTTGAAAATGTGTTGTGTTGAAATATATTATTGTATGACTGCCTGAGAGCTAGACTATATCCTATTTAGTCTAAATTATATTCAGACTATAATGCACCTATGTTAAAGTTTGGTAATTTTTAATATTTGTTTACATAGGAAGTGCTATTCAAAATGGCCGATTTGGTAAAATTAATTTGCACATTTTTACTTCAACTAGCCTTATTTCCACTTGACAATAGGCTGTGCTACTTTTTATTGCATTTAATTGTACCTTACTACTTAATTGAGATTTTGTAAAGCTTATTTTATTGAAGAAATGGTTCCTCTAATTGATAATTTTGTGCAAAAAATTATACATTACTATCTGATATATACAAAAGTTAGGATTAATATAAATGTTTCTATTTTTACATATACTGTTTCAATTTGGTCATTTGATTGCTTATTTTTTAAATTCAAAGTTCTCACAAACATTTATAATTTTACTGTATATAAAATTATAGTCCACAGTATATTGTGGGAAATTTAGAAATTCCCCACTTATTTTTTTTATTTCTAATTAAAATGTAATAATATTTGGTGAAGTAAGAAGTTTATATTTATGTCAGTAAAATTTCATGTACTGTGAGCGAGTTAAGGAGTAACCTAGGAGTAACCATAAACTCAGTGAGTAAGTTGGGAGTAGGAGTAAGAGTAACCTTACTCTTTGCTTGTGCAGGAACCCTTGTCCTAGAATTGGTCAACCCATAGGAGAAATATGCCACATGGTTATGAGTCACCAGGAATTAGAGGCTACTTGATTGACATTGCTAAGGTGATTTCCCACAATGCATCACCAAATGGAGTAAACACACCAGCTCAGTCCAGCTGCAGCCAATCAGATAGCTTCCCTATGCATCTCATTAGTGAGGTGAGACAGGAGATAATCTGATCACCTGATGTTAGTCTAGCTCAAGAAGTTGCAGTGTAAGGACCTGTAGTGTCATTTTTAGAAGCTGGCTCATGATGTTGATGGCGGAAAGGTGATTTTATGATGGAGTATTACTCGATGTGAGGAATTTTGGAGTTTAATCGTGGATATTGGAGTTTATGGAGTATTTTCACTGTTTTGTGACGGGAATCAACAGTGAAACTTGGATATAGAGCCGTTTGGCCTGATGTGTTGACCAGGGAGTACTGCCAGAGAAGTTGCAGTCTAGAGGCGCCTAGAAGACGTTTTGGAGAATTTGTGAGTGTTGATTTGAGTTTATAATTCATTCTGAGGTAGAATTAGAGGGTTTTACTTGATGATTCTTTGCAAATCAGCGTGGCTATTTTGTGATTGCATCATCATTTTCCAACAATCCTCAGCAAGTCCGCCATCTTGTATGACTTCCGGTTCACATGTGGCTCAAGTCTAATCTCAGAATTTGATTGACATTCTTGAGTCCCACCAAGAGCAAGTGTATTTGTGGGGTAGCAGATTTATTTCCATGTGACTAGTAATTTGGGTCTAATCTCAGAATTTGATTGATATTCCCGAATTACTCGTCTGGAGGAGTGTTTTTTTTTAAACAACAGGGATTCCAACTGAAGTGATCGCTTTATTTCCTTTGAGGGCAGATAGTTGGGTCTAATCTCAGAATTTGATCGAAATTCCCAATCTATTCGCCAAGAGGAGTAAAGAAGAGTAACCCAGGCTGAAGAAGAGTAACCCAGGCTGAAGAAGAGCAGTCCTGAGTAAGCAGAGCAGAATAAAGAGTAAGCAGAGCAGAACAGAATAAAGAGTAAGCAGAGCAGATTAAAGAGTAAGCAGAGCAGATTAAAGAGTAAGCAGAGCAGAGCAGATTAAAGAGTAAGCAGTGCAGAATAGAGTAAAGAGTAAGCAGAGCAGAACAGGGTAAAGAGTAAGCAGGGCGGAATAAAGAGTAACCAGAGCAGAATAGAGAGTAAGCAGAGCAGAGCGGAATAAAGAGAGCAGAACAGAGTAAACCAGAGCAGAGAGGAGTAAAGAGTAAGCAGAGTAGAACAGAAAGGAGTAAAGAGTAAGCAGAGCAGAACAGAAAGGAGTAAAGAGTAACCTGAGCAGAACAGAGTAAACCAGAGCAGAGAGGAGTAAAGAGTAAGCAGAGCAGAACAGAAAGGAGTAAAGAGTAACCCAGGCTGAAGAAGAGTAACCCTGAGTAGAGCAGAGAGGTGAAGAGTAAAGAAGAGTTACCCGGGCTGAAGAAGAGTAATCCTGAGTAACCAGAACCGAGGAGTAAAGAGTAAGCAGAGTAGTGCAGAGTAAAGAGTAAGCAGAGCAGATTAAAGAGTAAGCAGAGCAGAGCGGAATAAAGAGAGCAGAACAGAGTAAACCAGAACAGAAAGGAGTAAAGAGTAAGCAGAGCAGAACAGAAAGGAGTAAAGAGTAACCTGAGCAGAACAGAGTAAATCAGAGCAGAGAGGAGTAAAGAGTAAGCAGAGCAGAACAAATGAGTAATAAAGAGTAACGGAGCAGAACAGAAAGGAGTAAAGAGTAACCAGAGCAGAATAAAGAGTAAGCAGAGCAGAACAGAGTGAAGGTCAGGGTGCATGATGGGAAATTTTCTGCATCCCTCAATTGAGTCACATGTTATTTTTCAAACAAGAATCACTCCTTCCACACATTGTTCATATCTTCCAGGATCGCACAAAGAGTGCATCTTTGTGCCTAGAAAAGACTTGTGAGAAGATTTGTTTTGTAAAATATATAAAAAACGAGAAAATTCAGTGAAAAAAATTTCTGAAAATTTTCTAAATTTTTTCACTGAATTTTCTTGTTTTTTATACACTTTATCAAAACATTCTTCTCACAAGTCTTTTCTAGGCACATAAGTGCACTCTTTGTGCAAAACTGGAAGATATAGACTATTTGGGGAAGGAGTGATTCTTGTTTGAAAAATAACATGTGACTCAATTGAGGAATGCAGAAAATTTTTCATCATGCACCCTGACCTGAAACTAAAGCAGAGTAAATGTGGGTAGAGAACAGAAGAGTAAAGCAGAGTAACCCCTGAACAGAGTGAAGAAGAGTAAAAGTAGAGCAGAGTGCAAACAAGAGAAGAGCAACAAGACAACTCAGAGTTAATTATTACATGGACATTTGTGTTTTATTTGTTGTTAAAAATTAGTGTTAAGGTCAGGGTGCATGATGAAAAATTTTCTGCATTCCTCAATTGAGTCACATGTTATTTTTCAAACAAGAATCACTCCTTCCCCAAATAGTCTATATCTTCCAGTTTTGCACAAAGAGTGCACTTATGTGCCTAGAAAAGACTTGTGAGAAGAATGTTTTGATAAAGTGTATAAAAAACAAGAAAATTCAGTGAAAAAATTTAGAAAATTTTCAGAAATTTTTTTCACTGAATTTTCTCGTTTTTTATATATTTTACAAAACAAATCTTCTCACAAGTCTTTTCTAGGCACAAAGATGCACTCTTTGTGCGATCCTGGAAGATATGAACAATGTGTGGAAGGAGTGATTCTTGTTTGAAAAATAACATGTGACTCAATTGAGGGATGCAGAAAATTTCCCATCATGCACCCTGACCTTAATAAATTATTAAAACTGTACATGTATATCTGTATTCTGTATGCATATGTGTAACAACCTCCCCTTTCAGTGAAAGCAGTACCACCAAACCAGGTCTGCGCCCACATAAGACCAGTGAGAATCCCATAATAAATAATAAAAATTGTTCGTGACCCGACCACAACCACACTACCAGATTTTGGCCAGGTCCGACAATATTTCATTGGGTGATTTTACCAGTGGGAGTCCAATCTGTCTTTGAACTGATTTACACAATTTACACTTTATAGTAACCAATATCTAACAATTTTTTCAGTAACCGGACTCCTATGTCTTGAATGAGTCATAAACAGCTGACTATTTATTTTCACTGATTTTTCGAAAATGAAAACAAATTCTGAGAGTTGTTTTTACGCGTTTTAGTGATATTGTCATGTTTTGTTACTTTCTACTTACATACAGTCGTTCTGTGCTTTCTTACTCAGTGTATTGATACTACCAGTCACTAGCATACCCACCACGAGCAGTACTTGATAGCAATTTAGATCCATTTCTATTCAAGCTTTTGTAGTTTTTTAAAAGTCATGTGATTGTCATGTGACTTGGCATGATGCAAATTACAGATATGAAAACTGACATGGACTAGAAAAGTTATTTTAGTTAAGCTTAGATCTTGTAATTTAAAAAAAATTAACGAGTTTAACGAATGTAAAATCACTTGTTATTGTTTATCAATTTGTCATTTCAAATATTAAAGTTGAAAATATTATTAACCGCTATTTTGATAATTTATCCGTAAATTACACCAAAATGGAGCTGAGAGGTGACCTCGGAGAAATTCCTCCTAAAAGAACAGGTCATGTCGCTGTTGCCTTCAACAGAGCGATGATAGTGTGGGGAGGTTATCAGGTAATGCTAATAAATGTAATATGCTATATTTTCAACCGAAAACAGGAAGCACTGCTGAGAACTTTGAATAAAAATGTTGAAATTTTATGATTTATTTTATTATCGCCCACTTTTCAAAACTTTGGATACAAACGAACAAACTGTGCACAAAATGATTCAAGGCGAATAGTCCAAAACACAGGCAGAGGGAAAAATAGTGGTAAGCTGAGTGTAGAAAATACTCTCTATATTCAACTTACAAGATCCTACTATACTTTTCCCTTGGTCCAAAACACAGGCCCAGGAATAAGATTTAAATCTTATCCCGTTCCCGGACTATGGTCCTGTGAACATCTCAATCTTTTGCCTGTGCGATTACAACATGGGAGAATTTTTTACTGATCTTACACTTCAGATACCTACTTCAATAGATTCCTTGGTAATTTAGCATTCTTTTCGTGTAGTTGAATCTACAATTGTCTGGGTTTATCGGCAGAACGAAGACATTTTCGTTTTTGATTGCAATATTTGCGTGTAACATTTAACTTATTTCAACCGTCAAATTCCTCCATATTGGTACTTCCAGGCTACATCCGGGACAGCCAAACGGGGGATTCCCCTTTTAAATCCAACCGCCATTTTGAAAAGTGATGGAATCTCTCTCGATGAAAAAGAGAAAATGTTCCCGTTCTGCCGATATACCCAGACAATCGGCGGTTCCAATATATTAGAAGTTACATCTTGAGTTCTATAATGCATTGAGGTAGGTATCTTAAGTGTAAGGGGCGTAGATAATTCTCCCAAGTTGTAATCGTACAGGCAAATGAATGCGATCAGTGCAGGACTATAGTCCGGGAACGGGATAATTTAAATCCCCCCACTTTCTGCTTTATTGAATCCTACGACCACTCCCTTTTAGTGAGTACATCTACATCAATAATCTGCAAAAGGCTAACAAGCCCATTTAAAGCAGATATACAGTTTAAGAGTGATAGAATTTGAATAGAATACAATATAAACCTAACATTTAAAAAATAGATCTATGGTTTACAACTCATTTTAAAATTGAAAGGAAACTCCCTGGTTGGCCCATGTTACGTGTACCCCCTAGGAAGTCCCTCTGTTGAAATACCCTGGAACGACTGTCAGGCTACCACATTGACACTGCCCCTCTTTACCAGTAGTGCAGGCTTGTCTCTATGCACTGGGACATTCTACATTTAAAATATTTAAATCCTTTCTTCCTATAATAACTATTAACACCAGTGTTTGGGTCTAAGAGATCATAACTTTATTTCTTTAAACACACACATATTAACAAATAAAACTCACAACACATGACATTATGTCAACACAGTATGATCCCTATTTATAAAGCAGAAAACATCAATTAACTTGTGGAACTACTGATGCAACTACACATTTATGTATAATATGACAAAAGGGTGGGAGGGGGGGGGCCTGAATTTTTTACTTCCTGTACAAAAGTTGCTACTGGTTAGGAATATTCATATTGTGTTTTAGCACAATCAGGCACCTGGCACAACCCACCCATCCATCCATATTTAATCTCAATTCTTCACAGAATATCATTTAAATCCTTTCTTCCTATAATAACTATTAACACCAGTGTTTGGGTCTAAGAGATCATAACTTTATTTCTTTAAACACACACATATTAACAAATAAAACTCCAACTACCCAAACACTGAAAAAAAGAAAGAAAGGAAGAAAGTGGTAGATGTAAATTAAGTATTAGGATGCCGAACCTATACCCTACGATGTCAAATTATAAAACAGACAGTTTTGCTTTAGCACTGAATTGCTTACAATATTTCAGTTGAACATTAGATGGTATTTCATCAAGGTAACCTAAATAAGCCATACTCTTCCAATCCCCCATACCTTTAATTATTTCTCCAGGTATTCCACATGACATTGCAAAAACAGCGGAGCCCCTCCGAAAGCTATGAGTTCCAAACTTAGAACTGTCTTTACCAAAGCTCTTAAGAGAACTCTTGAATTTCTTTGCAAAACACTGGCCTGTGAAAGGCTTACCTGATTGGGGGTTTACAAATAATGGATCTGACATGCATTTAACTGGTGTTTTTGCCATTGCAATTGACAATGCACTAACAGGACATAATTTGTGAGGATACGTGTTTACCAAATGCACTACTCTTGACTTCTCTTTGTATTGATTATTCTTGGCCCATTTTACTGACAATTGTATGTTACCTTGATTGTCAATTTTAACTGAGTTCCTACAAAATTGTTTTTCATTGTTAAACCCACCTACAGTATCAGGCATCAAATTTGATTTTCTGAACATTCCATAAAACAACACGAGGCAAATAGCCCAAAAAACACAATCAAAGGTATCACATAGATCTAATGTATCTTTCATTTGTGACAATAAAGTGGGGGTAACTGGTTCTTTTTTATGAACTTCAGCACCAAGTTGCCTTTTTATCCCCATCAATGTTGATTTAACTAGCCAACTATCTTTATAAGGGTGCTCAAATCCACATTCCAAGTGAATAAGTCTCATAATATTGAGATATTGTGGTATGCTCGTGTATTTCAAACGTCTTGCTAAATAAGCAGCATATTCAGCAACAGTCTCTTCTGTTACTGGGACAGGTTGTAATCCAAGTTCATTACAGAAACGCAAATACGAATTACGTTGAGAAGAGTATGTTTTCTTTGTATTGTCAGAGAAAGCTTGTAGTCTATACTTTGCTACCTCTTGCTGTAATTCTTCTTTGAGAGCCAGTGACATACCTGTGGTAATAGAGACAATACAGTTTTCACTGACATATGTTTATGCAACACATGAAACAATACATAGTTGCCATGGAACCAATTAGACAGCAAACTGCTTAGATGAGATAATTGGCCATATGTATGGAGTCTTGAAATCGTATCAGCCATAATATTCACTTTAGTTCCAATAGATTTCACAGAGAATGTAAAATTATTCCTGGCACTTGCCCAAAATGTATTTCTAAGCAGTTGCATTATATAATCATTATGATTACACCTCCCTTTATTGACAATGCCCCTGGCCACTGAACTGTCAGAGTAGATATTGACATGGCAATCTTTCCATAATGTGCCCCATCGATTCACTGCTGCACATATAGCTATAATTTCCTTGTAATTTATATGTAGATGTTTAGCACTTTTCCAATCTAACTCAAAACATATATATTCCCAATCGCCTTGAGAAAATATCCCAGCACCATCACTGCTGGCATCCACAAATACACTGATTACTTCCTTTGTATTATAATACGCTGTACCATCGCATATATCCAACATGGCACACCACCACTGGACATCTTTTTTGAATGCCTGAGATAACAACACTTTATCTCTACTACCTTTCATCTTCCTGAGATTATCCAATATACGTCGCAGAAAAAATTTGCCTCCACGAACCGCATGTGTTGCATAACTTAAGGACCCTACCAACGATTGTAGTTGACGTTTTGATGCACGTTTTTTATTACGAAATAACTCCAACTTGTCACGTAACTTATTTCGTTTTGCCTGGCCTAATGAGACCGTACAGTCCACAGTATTGATTTCCACACCTAAGAAGGTAACCATCTGACTTGGTCCACATACTTTAGACCAGTTTATCTGGAACCCAAGTGTCCTCAATAGATTAATCAATACATTTAAACACTTTTGACAGTCTGCTGCTGTCTCCTGTACAATGAGAAAGTCATCGAGATACGCTACAATCCCAGAATAGCCTTTCCTATTCATGATACGTTTCACTGCTTGTGATATACGTGTAAAAATTGAACATCCTTGATTAGACCCAAAAGGCAATCTGCTATCAAAGATATTAGTCACAGTTTCATCACCTTGAAATTTCCATTGCAGGCCTGTCATACAATAGTCAATACAAGATATAGGAACACTACGATAGGCATTTTTCAAGTCAATTTTTGCGATGAAGTAATTAGGTTTGGCTAAACGTTTTGCTTTATCCAATGTTTCATATTTCACAGAATTACTTTCTGAATAGTCATTCATAGCACAGCCTACAGGTCTACTACCATCATGTATAAGTATTCTCCAAAATCAATATCTGTGTCCTCCTCATGTTCTAGGCCAGGGACATAGTCAACTATTTTGAGATATGAATTATTACCTTTATCTCCTTTCCTAAAGAGGTAAACTTGAGGATCCATGTAATCGGCCTGATGGCGTTCTGCAGCTGTAGCTGGTTTGTTGCCAAGTAAGTCTTCGAGAAATTTTAATCCAACCGTAGCCTCTGTTGATTTTCCTGGCTGAACTTTCGAAATGTCTTCAAGGAGGGGGCCAGTGCCAGCCTCACGTTGTAACTGTTTTACCCCAGCTAGTAGGGATCGTATTTCACCTTTTTTCAATGCAACACCGTCCAAATCCTCACTACTCATGTTGATAAGTGAAGAAATGTTGTCAAATCCTTCTGACAAGAGCCACTTTTGAGAGTCTTCTGTTATTTCAGAGAATTTAATCCACTTATCAAACTCAAATTTTTCCATGATGAGCTTAATTTTACTAACTATTACTAACAAAGATCAGCTTATTTGCAAATAAAGAGAAAACTACTGAGTAATTCCATATCACATGGCCTGAATTTTTTACTTCCTGTACAAAAGTTGCTACTGGTTAGGAATATTCATATTGTGTTTTAGCACAATCAGGCACCTGGCACAACCCACCCATCCATCCATATTTAATCTCAATTCTTCACAGAATATCATAAAAAATTTACTCGCACTTGTAATAATAGGCAATCACTGTACATAGAGTGCTCATTCGTCTGGTTATGTCTCACTAAAAAGAGACAAATTGGACAACTTAGGACAATGTCCTGGGGACAACTTGGGACAACGTGGGACAATGTCCCCTGATTGTCCCAAGGATGTCCCATGGGAATGTCCGAACTTGTGCCTTCATGTCCCATGAAATATTTTACTCAATAACTCCCTTGATGTCCCATCATGTCCTATTAATGTTCAGCTAGCTTTAGGTAAACACGTTAATGACGTCACAAATTAAAATATAATCAACACTGTGATGTGGAACGTTTAGCTTTGTCGTTTGTTAAGTTGACAGAGCAATAAGTAACTCTGATGTCATAGTTTATATATTACGTCATGTCTTCATCAAAAACACAACATATGACGTTGTGATCGATGACTTGATGATTTGCCATATAAGGTAATAATGGCGGACTTTTGGTTACATGACTGGTCGAACCCTTGGGAGCCTTCGTAAAAAGAACACAAGATTCTTCAACCGAACAATGAAAAGAGCTGAATATATAAATATACATTAAATGAATCATGTGATTGTAGGATAACAGTGACTCAAACCCAATGCAAATGGAGGTGGAACGTTACTTACCGGCCACAGATATTTGGATTTATCACACTGATATTGACCAATGGTAAGGCAGATAAGAATTTATTTTTATTGCACCGAATTAACCTTGTCTACATGTTTCAAGCCAAACCGTTTCAAGGATTCATCATAAATATTCAGGGACGTTTCTACTGATATGAAAGTTTAGAAGTGATTAGATTTTGACATTCTGGGAAAATGTTAAGGGCAGCTCTTTTGGATTTTCCATCCTAAAATCTTGTCTGTCCAGGCTTGTCTACAGGTTTCCAGCCAAACCATTTCAGAGATTCATCTGACATTTTCAGGGATGTTTCTACATATGAAAGTTTAGAACTTATTAGTTTTTTGGCATTCTGGGTAATTGTTAAGGTGGCCATTTTGGATTTACAATCCTAAAATCATGTCTGTCAAAGTTTGTCTACATGTTTCCAGTCAAACTGTACATTGATTCATCTGAAATTTTCAGGGATGTTTTTACATATGGAAGTTGAGAACTGATAGTTTTTAGGCAGTTTATGTTGGGGTGGCCATTCTGGATTTTCCATCCTGAAAACTACATTCTCTTCAAGGGTGTGATTCTTTCCATTCTGTGTCTTGTTGTTTTGAAATGTATATTTTGTGGTCCCAGTTTTGGTAATTTTTACAAAGGTTTTGTTATGACAACAAAGTTTAGTAGGGATATAGTGAAGCCCTCTGTCCATCAGTCTGTCATTCAGTTAGTCCGTTCGTCTGTCTATCCGGAAGATAACTCATGTACTAGTTGACAGATTTTCTTCATATATGGTGGAAAGATGTATATTTGTGAATTGTTTTAAGCAAAAATTTCTTTTGCATTTTAAACCAAAATAATGAATATTATTATTTGAAGATTTAGTAGTATATATACAACATCTATCTATTTCACATTCATGAATATCCCATGTTTTTCATCCTGACTCCCGGGGGCCATGAATGGGGGGTTGGAAAAACAAGAATTTACGTAAATTTTGAGATGTTTTTGAAGTATAGCTTTATAATACTGTGGTATCGTTTTTCTGATTAAGGCCTTTTAAAATTCAAAATGGCCATCTAACATGGGATTTCACAATTATTTTCTGATCTATTAAAAATATGGCTATTTTATACTCAAATTGAAGGAATTTTCGAGTTGATCACAATTATGGTATTGCGTTTTCCTGATTTGTGCCTGAGAAAATTCAACATAGCTGCCCTCAGCAGGAATTTGCCATTATTTAGAGATATTTTTAAATGATCTATAATGATCTGAAATATTTATAAGATAAGATGGTAAATATTACATTTTGACGTTTTGAATGGCATTGTGTATCTTGATCTTAAAACTTTTGTTCCTTTTGTGACATTGTGTATTTTCTTTTGATAACTATTATTAAATGAATGTTTGTTTGTTATTCTTGTTTTTATGTCCCCACCACAGTGTGGGGCCTTATTGTCGTCCTAGGCGTGTCCGTCCGTCCGAACGTCCGGCAGTTTTCTCCAAAACCGCTACTGATATCACCTTCAAATTTTCAGGGATAACTTGTGAGTGCATACAGATATGGATGAAAAAAATTCAACTCGATACCTACTTCCTGTCGACCATTTTGAGGTCAAATGCTAAAATCCTTGTCTGTAAACGTTAAGAAAAACGGCTTCACAGTTGCTATTAAAACTTTAATATCTTGTCCAGCTCACTTCATTCTACATCTTATTAGGTTTTGGACCTATTAGCCCAGTCATGTCAGCCATTTTGAATGTCTTAAGAAAAGTAAGCGCAAGATAATACTTTGTATCATATTGAATGGTGTTTTTGAGTTTTCATACTTTAACTATTTAGTAGCTTTATAAATAATTTCAGGTGAACTTTGTCGTAAAAGCCAATGTTATTGTTAACAGTAGTTATATGTGATAATTTTGTAAAAAGAAATCAGCAAAAACTCATAATCACTTTTTTATTGTCAGCCATTTTAGATTTTCAATCCTAAAATCTTGTATGTAAAGAAAGTCTTGTCTACACGTTTTCAGGTGAACCGTTTGGTAGATTAATTTCAAATTTTCAGGGATTTATTCTTAGTATGAAAATCTAGAACTGATTAGTTTTTTTGACATTCTGGGTAAATGTCAAAGCAGCCATTTTGGATTTTCCATCCTAAAATCTTGTCTATAAAGTCTTGTTTACATGTTTTCTGGTTACTGTTTGATGGATCAATTTCAAATTTTCAGGGGTGGCTCTTAGTATGAAAATCTAGAACAAACTAATTTTTGGGGATTCTGGGTAAATTTTAAGGCGGCCATTTTTGATTTTCCGTCCTCAAATTATGTCCGTAAAGTCTTATCTACTCATTTTTAGGATAACCATTTGACGAGATCACCCATTGGTGTGGACATTTTGTACACATTTGTGTTCTTGTTTTATAGGGTACATGTATCATTCCAATCTTAATACTGAGGTAGACTATCGTTTAAGTGACAATTTCACATTATGGCTATTTAGCAGGTCCAGTCAGCGTTTACTGCACTTGTCTTTAATTTGGCGAGCTTTCTAATTTGGCAATTTTTGAGGAATAAAAAAATTAAGTAGCCCCAACAAATACAGTACTATAGTGCTGACTCTTTAAGGGATTGTATCGGGAGTCGGTTCTAGAAGGACACTGAGAGAAGGCTGTGATATCTCACGATGATATATTCCTAACAACCAGACAGTATATAATTCCTGTTCTCAAATTTTCAGGCGCAAACTAACCACAAGAGGTGATGTTCCCCCAGGTACCTCTGGGGCCTCGGCTGTTCAGATCAACCACAAAATGTATGTCGCTTGTGGTCACTGTGATGGTATTGGCAATACCAACAAAGTATATAGACTTGACCTTGAGACACTAAAATGGGAGTCCATCACAACTGACATTGGACCTTCCCCTAGGGATAAATGCTCAATATGGGAATATAGAGATGAGATTTATTTATTTGGAGGATTTGGATATGATCCAGTGGATTATCTGAATGAGGATGGGGAATATACAAAGGATTTGGTTGGTGCAGAGTGGGGGGTAAGTGCAACATGGAATACACAAAAGATTGGTTAGTGCAGAGTGAGGGGGGGTAAGTGCAACATGAAATACATGAAGGATTTGCAGAGTGGGGATAAGTGCAACATGAAATACACAAAGGATTTGGTAGGTGCAGAGTAGGGGGGGGGGGTAAGTGTAACACAAAATACACAAAGGATTTGGCTAGTGCAGAGTAGGGGGGGGTAAGTGCAACACAAAATACACAAAGGATTTGGCTAGTGCAGAGTAGGGGGGGGTAAGTGCAACACAAAATACACAAAGGATTTGGTTGGTGCAGAGTGGGGGGGAGTAAGTGCAACACAAAATACACAAAGGATCTGCTTATGCAGAGTAGGGGGGGGGGGGGGGTAAGTGCAACACAAAATACACAAAGGATTTGCAGAGTGGGGATAAGTGCAACATGAAATACACAAAGGATTTGGTAGGTGCATAGTGGGGGGGAGTAAGTGCAACACAAAATACACAAAGGATTTGGTTGGTGCAGAGTAGGGGGGGGGGGGTAAGTGCAACACAAAATACACAAAGGATTTGGTTAGTGCAGAATAGGGGGGGGGGAGGGGTAAGTGCAACACAAAATACACAAAGGATTTGGTTGGTGCAGAGTGGGGGGGGGGGGAGTAAGTGCAACACAAAATACACAAAGGATCTGCTTATGCAGAGTAGGGGGTGGGGTAAGTGCAACACAAAATACACAAAGGATTTGCAGAGTGGGGATAAGTGCAACATGAAATACACAAAGGATTTGGTTGGTGCAGAGTGGGGGGAGTAAGTGCAACACAAAATACACAAAGAATTTGGTTGGTGCAGAGTGGGGGGTAGTGAAACATGGAATACACAAATGATAGTGCAGGGTGGGGAATCAGTGAAACATGGAATACTGTAGATACACTTGGATTCAGGACTGAAGTTTAATTTTTGTTTATGTTTATGTCATTAGGACAGGTATTTACTGAGATACTTTCTGTATTTCTATTGGAATAATGTAGAATTTATGACATGTTGACATGAAAGGGGTCCCAGAAGTTTAATTTCTGAAGTGCATGGCACAAAAAAAACATAAAATTTGACAGATTTTTAATTTGGCGGATTTTATGAATCTGCAAATCCGTCAAATTAAAACGGGAACCAAATTGAATGTATCTACAGTACACAAAGGATTTGGTTGGTGCACAGAGCGGCAGATAAGTGCATTAATTGGAATACACAAAGGATTTGGTTGCTGCAGAGTGGGGGGGGGGGGGGTAAGTGCAACATGGAATACTGTGACTAAACAAACCATTTGAGGTTTTAGAAATAGCCTTGCACTGCCATTTATCTGAAATCCCATTTGCACCCACTTGAAAATGATAAAAATCATGTATACTTGTGGCATAATTGTGAATACGAAATTTTTGCACCCTTTGAGAAAATCCCTTGGAGAACATAAGAAAACTGTCTGTTTGTTCAGAAATAGAATTACAATTTTCTAAAAATACATTTTCAAACAATGCATGGGGCAGGTGCATAAGTGAGGTTGTAACTTTAGGTGAGACGGCGATAATTAATAAAATTTAAAGTGAGGTAAAATTAGGCTGTAAGCATGTTAAAATGGGAACAATTTTGTATATTCTTGCTTTTTGATCTATATGCACTTTACAGTTTTATTTTAAACTAGAGTTACAGAGGTTGGAACAATCAGTTGCATGTGTTTGATCCTGGCACCATATTCTTTACTTAAATACTATAATATATACTTGTATTTTCCATGCTTGACATCTTGTAGAGTTACAGAGGTTGGAACAACCAGTTGCATGTGTTTGATCCTGGCACCATATTCTTTACTTAAATACTATAATATATACTTGTATTTTCCATGCTTGACATCTTGTAGAGTTACAGAGGTTGGAACAACCAGTTGCATGTGTTTGATCCTGGCACCATATTCTTTACTTAAATACTATAATATATACTTGTATTTTCCATGCTTGACATCTTGTAGAGTTACAGAGGTTGGAACAACCAGTTGCATGTGTTTGATCCTGGCCCTATATTCTTTACTTAAATACTATAATATATACTTGTATTTTCCATGCTTAACATCTTGTAGAGTTACAGAGGTTGGAACAATCAGTTGCATGTGTTTGATCCTGGCACTATATTCTTTACTTAAAAACTATAATATATACTTGTATTTTCCATGCTTGACATCTTGTAGAGTTACAGAGGTTGGAACAACCAGTTGCATGTGTTTGATCCTGGCACCATATTCTTTACTTAAATACTATAATATATACTTGTATTTTCCATGCTTGACATCTTGTAGAGTTACAGAGGTTGGAACAACCAGTTGCATGTGTTTGATCCTGGCACTATATTCTTTACTTAAATACTATAATATATACTTGTATTTTCCATGCTTAACATCTTGTAGAGTTACAGAGGTTGGAACAATCAGTTGCATGTGTTTGATCCTGGCACTATATTCTTTACTTAAAAACTATAATATATACTTGTATTTTCCATGCTTGACATCTTGTAGAGTTACAGAGGTTGGAACAACCAGTTGCATGTGTTTGATCCTGGCACCATATTCTTTACTTAAATACTATAATATATACTTGTATTTTCCATGCTTGACATCTTGTAGAGTTACAGAGGTTGGAACAACCAGTTGCATGTGTTTGATCCTGGCACTATATTCTTTACTTAAATACTATAATATATACTTGTATTTTCCATGCTTGACATCTTGTAGAGTTACAGAGGTTGGAACAACCAGTTGCATGTGTTTGATCCTGGCACCATATTCTTTACTTAAATACTATAATATATACTTGTATTTTCCATGCTTGACATCTTGTAGAGTTACAGATGTTGGAACAACCAGTTGCATGTGTTTGATCCTGGCACCATATTCTTTACTTAAATACTATAATATATACTTGTATTTTCCATGCTTGACATCTTGTAGAGTTACAGAGGTTGGAACAACCAGTTGCATGTGTTTGATCCTGGCACTATATTCTTTACTTAAATACTATAATATATACTTGTATTTTCCATGCTTAACATCTTGTAGAGTTACAGAGGTTGGAACAATCAGTTGCATGTGTTTGATCCTGGCACTATATTCTTTACTTAAAAACTATAATATATACTTGTATTTTCCATGCTTGACATCTTGTAGAGTTACAGAGGTTGGAACAACCAGTTGCATGTGTTTGATCCTGGCACCATATTCTTTACTTAAATACTATAATATATACTTGTATTTTCCATGCTTGACATCTTGTAGAGTTACAGAGGTTGGAACAACCAGTTGCATGTGTTTGATCCTGGCCCTATATTCTTTACTTAAATACTATAATATATACTTGTATTTTCCATGCTTAACATCTTGTAGAGTTACAGAGGTTGGAACAACCAGTTGCATGTGTTTGATCCTGGCACTAGAAAGTGGAGAAATCCAAGATGTAAGGTAAGAGCAATGGAGCATTGTCTTATGTGAACATGCAACAATCTTATCACTTTTAACCAGTTCCGAGCCTAATGTAAACTATAATATAGTACAATATATGTACACACAAATACATGATTATTGGTGATTTCACAATTTATTGGCCCTATTAAGATCTGCATGAGTTAATACTTCAAACCTTGCATGTGGCCTTTAATATATTTGGTAGGGCTGAAGGCTCTTCCTGGAGTTGCATGGGGAGCCCCAAGGCTTATATAGGTCATACTTATATTTGGTAGGGAGAAACATTGAGTTAATAATTTACACAGGGTCTTTATAGTATTTTGCTATGGCCCAAAGTATCTCCCCAGGTATTAGAGCATATATGATAAGAAGGAAGTAGTTTGAGTTATTAGTTTTCATGAGGCCTTTAATATTTTGTTATTAGGGTCCTAAGCCCCTCCCTAGAGCTGCAGTGGGAGCTTCAAGATGTGGTAATAAAGCTTATATATTTGGAGGGAGACACATTGATGAACGGCTGAATGATTTGCATATCCTCAACCTTGACACTTTGACTTGGTCAGGCATGTAAGTTAGTTTGAATTACCATATTCTCCCTGAAAAGTGCACAATGCCATCCCAAAATGGAAACTAGTGGAATATTGAGAAATTTTAAAGACTGCACAAAAATTAAAAAAGAAATTTTCCTGATAATAGGTGAAAATCAATGTTTAACACATATTACTTTCTCTGCATCAAATGAAAGTCATACATTCACAGCAGTCAGTGATTCACATATATTCCTGTACTTGTAGAATGGCTTCAACTGGGAGTGTTCCAGAGGGAAGATCTTGGCATACGTTCACAGCAGTCAATGATATACATATATTCCTGTACTTGTAGAATGACTTCAACTGGGAGTGTTCCAGGGGGTAGATTTTGGCATACATTCACAGCAGTCAGTGATATACATATATTCCTGTACTTGTAGAATGACTTCAACTGGGAGTGTTCCAGAGGGTAGATCTTGGCATACATTCACAGCAGTCAATGATATACATATATTCCTGTACTTGTAGAATGACTTCAACTGGGAGTGTTCCAGAGGGTGTATCTATGGCATACATTCACAGCAGTCAGTGATTCACATATATTCCTGTACTTGTAGAATGGCTTCAACTGGGAGTGTTCCAGAGGGTAGATCTTGGTATACGTTCACAGCAGTCAATGATATACATATATTCCTGTACTTGTAGAATGACTTCAACTGGGAGTGTTCCAGAGGGTAGATCTTGGTATACGTTCACAGCAGTCAGTGATACACATATATTCCTGTACTTGTAGAATGACTTAACTGGGAGTGTTCCAGAGGGTAGATCTTGGCATACATTCACAGCAGTCAGTGATTCACATATATTCCTGTACTTGTAGAATGGCTTCAACTGGGAGTGTTCCAGAGGGTAGGTCTTGGCATACGTTCACAGCGGTCAATGATACACATATATTCCTGTACTTGTAAAATGGCTTCAACTGGGAGTGTTCCAGAGGGTAGATATTGGCATACATTCACAGCAGTCAGTGATATACATATATTCCTGTACTTGTAGAATGACTTCAACTGGGAGTGTTCCAGAGGGTAGATCTTGGCATACATTCACAGCAGTCAGTGATACACATATATTCCTGTACTTGTAGAATGGCTTCAACTGGGAGTGTTCCAGAGGGTAATCTTGGCATATATTCACTGCAGTCAGTGATACACATATATTCCTGTACTTGTAGAATGACTTCAACTGGGAGTGTTCCAGAGGGTAGATCTTGGCATACATTCACAGCAGTCAGTGATTCACATATATTCCTGTACTTGTAGAATGGCTTCAACTGGGAGTGTTCCAGAGGGTAGATCTTGGCATACATTCACTGCAGTCAGTGATACACATATATTCCTGTACTTGTAGAATGGCTTCAACTGGGAGTGTTCCAGGGGGTAGATCTTGGCATACATTCACAGCAGTCAGTGATATACATATATTCCTGTACTTGTAGAATGGCTTCAACTGGGAGTGTTCCAGGGGGTAGATCTTGGCATACATTCACAGCAGTCAGTGATACACATATATTCCTGTACTTGTAGAATGGCTTCAACTGGGAGTGTTCCAGAGGGTAGATCTTGGCATACATTCACAGCAGTCAGTGATACACATATATTTCTGTACTTGTAGAATGGCTTCAACTGGGAGTGTTCCAGAGGGTAGATCTTGGCATACATTCACAGCAGTCAGTGATACACATATATTTCTGTATGGGGGGTTCACTACGCAAAGAGATCCTAAAAGTGAGTAGGCCTAGATCTTTATTATCCCATCGGACTCATTAGTCAATCCACCCATTTGTTTGTCCAGTAGAAAACTCAAATATCAGTTGATAGATTTCATAAAAACCTTTCAGGGCCTCTGGTCAAAAAGGAATTTTCAATGTGGCTGCTCAATTCAAAATGGCCGCAATTTGTAAAAAATGTCTGTGATAACTCAAACACTAGTTTACAGTTTTTAATTAAACTTTTATATACTGATGCCTTGGGACAAAGGGGTTTTGCAATTACCTAATTAATGTCCAAAACGTGTATTTATAAGTAAATTTTCACCTTAAAAAGTATACAATTATTGATAAAATATGATGTGGGTTATAAAGGCATAAACATTTGCAAAGCATGTGCAGCAATATTGATGTTTTGGTCAGTTGTTCTCGAAGACTTTAAAGTTACAGTAAAACCTGTCCGATGGAATATCTCTCTGTAGGGAAAACCTATGAACAAGGAATGCTTTTCAAAAGAGCCGAATAATTTCCCATTGACTTATATGTTGACGGACCCTCTCTGTAGGGAAAACCTGTGAACAGGGAACAAGGAACACTATTTTGGGGCAAATTATGAAAATTCACCTGTGAATAAGGAATATTGGTGACACTGTATATTCCATTATTTTTCAGAGGTGTGAAAGTCTTAAGCCAATATCTCATTCTAAAAAGCTTGGATTAATATGATTGAGATTAAGATAAGCCAATTGTTTACAGGATGTAGTGTCCCACCCACTGTTCATCACCCTGATATATTTTAAAACTAATACTAATCTGTTTGTTACTTATTATCATGACACTTATTCTTCCTTTCGACAAACCTAATGACATCAAATCAGTTGTGATAATCTAGGGACTGACACAATTGTTAGAGATAACAGATAAGTACATGTGTCATATTGAGCCAAATCTATCAATAATAACATCAACTAGACATCATCAGACCCAGCAGCAGCAGCAGCTAAAATCAACATAGGGAGAATGCCAATAGAGGGAGGTGGTAGACCTTCATACATCTTCCAAGATGTCACAAAAAGGTCTAGCAACCAAGTATGGAGTAAACATTGGTACAATCAATCAATGCCCATATGTATACAAATACGCTTATTCGGCAAGTTTGAGGAAAGTGCGGCCCCTCTCTATAGGGAAAACCTCTGAAAAAGGAAACTTTCTTCCAGTCCCAAGAGCATTCCCTGTTCACAGGTTTTACTGTAATTGGTTTTTACTTTACCAAAAAGTTGCAGTCTTTTATATGATGCCAAAAATTATTGAAACTTATAAACATCCTAAATAAACATTTCAAAGTTTCACATGCGTTGACTCCATATATCATTGTCTGTCACTTATACTTCAATAATAATTCTTTCATTTGATTGGTTCATTTGAAGATAATACTTACGAAATTAATCTGTTGATATAGTGAATTATTACACTAAGTTCAAATATCACTAAAACAACTGTTGCAATATAAACAATAAACAAATATAAACTAACATGATTTCATAACAAAATAGGATATGGAGAACACAATAATCATAAACATGAGTCAGTGGAAAAGATCACAATGACATTGAATTAAGAGACATTCGGATGCTAAATAACAGTACTGACCAATGGTCAACTATGACTTTGTCACATTATCTCAACTGATCACTAGATAATGTATCGTGCCTGTCGTTTCTTTAAATATGATCCCATCACTTGTCAATTGAAAAAATTGTCTTTTTGTGGTCACTCATGTTTTAATAATCCTGCACAGTTGTAAATGCCGATGCTTAGGGATAAGAGCTCTGCTCAAGATGATAATTTCAAGATGGCTGCTATTTATCAAAATGGCTGCCATTTGGTTCAAATTTTATATGCTGATATAAAAATATAACATATGCAGATGATCTTTTTCAAGATGGCCGCTATTTATCAAAATATGTTTTGTTCAGTGGTATTTGATACTTCTATTTGTGGAGTTGCTGTTTTTCTATCTTATTTCTGTCCTATTTTTTATTGTCAATATACATTTACTTTCCCAATATAAAATATAATGTATATCCAGACCAAGAATTGTGCCTGTATATGGGATGTTCAATAAGTAGTTATAAAATGTTTTTGTTGAAATCTTTCTGCAATAGTACTATGAAATTGAGAAATGTACTACTCTACACCAACAAACTTTTGCCAATTGCCGACTAACACTATTCCATACGTTTAATATACATACCGGTATATATATTTAAACAAAAAAAACATGACAGCATATCTTTATCAGAAGTCACATTTGTTGAACACACTTAGATCCCTCTGAAAATCTACCTTTATCAAAACTGTTGGCAACTGATCATTCTGAAATGTTTTGTAATATCTATATATGTATATATATCACAAACATATCCTTGATATTATGAAGAATGATATTTCCATCTCAGGTGATGGATGGCTATTAGACACAAGGACATTGTTATGGACACAACTAAATGTACCACTAACCAACCCAAGATTATGGCATACAATGGTGCGTACATCAGAGGATGACATTCTCATATATGGGGGATGTTGTAACAACATTCTGGACCATACACAAAAAATGGTAAGAACATGAGAATATCTAATATAATCATCAAAATTATGAATGGTTGCATTTATCAGTTTCAAAGAGTGTTATGATCAGTCTGATGATACAGGTCTAAGCTAATGATATGAACCATTATATAACAATCCCATTAATCAAAGTTCAGTATACGAGTATATATCAGTGATCTCCCCAGGAATTTTTCTCAAGTGGGTGCAAAATTCACATTTTCACAATTCAATGATTTTTCTCATTTTCAAGTGGGTGCAAATGGATTTTTCAGGTGGGTGCAAACCTGTATTTAAAATCTTAGGTGGGTTCTATGCTCACTTGCTTTAATGCTGAGGAGATCACAGTATAAAGAAAAACGACTCCATCTGTCCATAAATCTGTTGGTCCAACAATCGGGGCAAGAACTCATACTGTATTTGTCTTTCATTTGGTGATTTTCTGTTTTGGGGCCTGGCATCTCATTGTAGTGTTGTTGATGAACAATTTCTTCAATATTTCTTGTTGTTTCTATAAATTCAAATGGAATGGTCATCTTGGTATCTTTTTTTAAATGGAAGTCCACCGAACGAAAAACATGTCATATACCTGGGGATTTTGGCGACTTTTTAATTTGGAAATTTTTAATTTGCCAAAATTCACCAGTTTAAAATGCTTGCCAAATTAAGGATGAATACAGTATACCGCTTGCCCAATATTGTTTAAACATAAAATTTGCCCCAAGTTCTGCTCCAAAGCCATTTCAAAGTGGCCAGCAATTTCAAAATGACCAATTATTGCTGTAACTGGAAAATAAGTGGAGTGATTTTGTTCATTTGATTTGTTAGGGCAGCCATTTTAAGATATGGTAGCCATTTTCCTGTCTGATATCTTACATTTTTCTATAATTGGAAAAGTAGTGGAGAGGTTTTGTTAAAACTTCATATGAATTATCTTGGAGCATATTAAATGTCTAAAGACAATTTGGCTTATTGGCCGCTATTTCCAAAAATGTCAGCAGTTCAATGGGATTTGCTTCACCTCAAAGTATTGTATTATATTGTGTCATATTATATTTTATTATACTATATTAAAGCTCTTAGCATTGACTTTTTCCAGGTTCACAGTTTTAATGTTCTGGTGTACAGGTTCTCTCCAAGATCTCTATTAAGGTAATCATTAGATCACTCTCTATTAAGGTAATCATTAGACCACTCTCATTGTCCACAAAATATTCTAGATCACTCTGTTCTGTCCATAGACTAGTTTAGATCATATGGGTTAGACCATAGATAACATTAGATTATTCTTGTTTACATTGTCCACAAACTACTTTACAATGTCAATGTCTGAGAATGTCTATGAGTTCGATTATAGCCTACTCCAGATTCTCTGTTTTGCCAGTAGACTACTTAGAATGTATATGAGTTTGATTATAGCCTACTCCAGATTCTCTGTTTTGCCCATAGACTACTTAGAATGTATATGAGTTTGATTATAGCCTACTTCAGATTCTCTGTTTTGCCCATAGGCATCTTAGAATGTATATGAGTTTGATTATAGCCTACTCCAGATTCTCTGTTTTGCCCATAGACTACTTAGAATGTATATGAGTTTGATTATAGCCTACTTCAGATTCTCTATTTTGCCCATCATAGACTACTAAGAATGTCTATGAGTTTGATTATAGCCTATTTCAGATTCTCTGTTTTGCCCATAGACTACTTAGAATGTATATGAGTTTGATTATTAGCCTATTTCATATTCTCTGTTTTGCCCATCATAGACTACTTAGAATGTATATGAGTTTGATTATAGCCTACTTCAGATTCTCTATTTTGCCCATCATAGACTACTAAGAATGTCTATGAGTTTGATTATAGCCTACTTCAGATTCTCTGTTTTGCCCATAGGCATCTTAGAATGTATATGAGTTTGATTATAGCCTACTCCAGATTCTCTGTTTTGCCCATAGACTACTTAGAATGTATATGAGTTTGATTATAGCCTACTTCAGATTCTCTATTTTGCCCATCATAGACTACTAAGAATGTCTATGAGTTTGATTATAGCCTATTTCAGATTCTCTGTTTTGCCCATAGACTACTTAGAATGTATATGAGTTTGATTATTAGCCTATTTCATATTCTCTGTTTTGCCCATCATAGACTACTTAGAATGTATATGAGTTTGATTATAGCCTACTTCAGATTCTCTATTTTGCCCATCATAGACTACTAAGAATGTCTATGAGTTTGATTATAGTCTATTTCAGATTCTCTGTTTTGCCCATAGACTACTTAGAATGTATATGAGTTTGATTATAGCCTACTTCAGATTCTCTGTTTTGCCCATAGACTTAACTAAGAATGTCTATGAGTTTGATTATAGTCTATTTCATATTCTCTGTTTTGCCCATAGACTACTTAGAATGTATATGAGTTTGATTATAGCCTATTTCATATTCTCTGTTTTGCCCATAGACTACTTAGAATGTATATGAGTTTGATTATAGCCTACTTCAGATTCTCTGTTTTGCCCATAGACTACTTAGAATGTATATGAGTTTGATTATAGCCTACTTCAGATTCTCTGTTTTGCCCGTAGACTACTTAGAATGTACATGAGTTTGATTATAGCCTACTCCAGATTCTCTGTTTTGCCCATAGACTACTAAGAATGTCTATGAGTTTGATTATAGTCTATTTCAGATTCTCTGTTTTGCCCATAGACTACTTAGAATGTATATGAGTTTGATTATAGCCTACTTCAGATTCTCTGTTTTGCCCGTAGACTACTTAGAATGTATATGAGTTTGATTATAGCCTACTTCAGATTCTCTGTTTTGCCCATAGACTACTTAGAATGTATATGAGTTTGATTATAGCCTACTTCAGATTCTCTGTTTTGCCCGTAGACTACTTAGAATGTATATGAGTTTGATTATAGCCTACTTCAGATTCTCTGTTTTGCCCATAGACTACTTAGAATGTATATGAGTTTGATTATAGCCTACTTCAGATTCTCTGTTTTGCCCGTAGACTACTTAGAATGTATATGAGTTTGATTATAGCCTATTTCATATTCTCTGTTTTGCCCATAGACTACTAAGAATGTCTATGAGTTTGATTATAGTCTATTTCAGATTCTCTGTTTTGCCCATAGACTACTAAGAATGTCTATGAGTTTGATTATAGTCTATTTCAGATTCTCTGTTTTGCCCATAGACTACTAAGAATGTACATGAGTTTGATTATAGCCTATTTCATATTCTCTGTTTTGCCCATAGACTACTTAGAATGTATATGAGTTTGATTATAGCCTATTTCATATTCTCTGTTTTGCCCATAGACTACTAAGAATGTCTATGAGTTTGATTATAGCCGCGCTGTTTCATATTCTCTGTTTTGCCCATAGACTACTTAGAATGTACATGAGTTTGATTATAGCCTATTTCATATTCTCTGTTTTTCCCGTAGACTACTTAGAATGTATATGAGTTTGATTATAGCCTATTTCATATTCTCTGTTTTGCCCGTAGACTACTTAGAATGTATATGAGTTTGATTATAGCCTACTTCAGATTCTCTGTTTTGCCCGTCGACTACTTAGAATGTACATGAGTTTGTTTATGCATATTTCATATTCTCTGTTTTGCCCATAGACTACTTAGAATGTATATGAGTTTGATTATAGTCTATTTCATATTCTCTGTTTTGCCCATAGACTACTTAGAATGTATATGAGTTTGATTATAGCCTATTTCATATTCTCTGTTTTGCCCATAGACTACTTAGAATGTATATGAGTTTGATTATAGCCTATTTCATATTCTCTGTTTTGCCCATAGACTACTTAGAATGTACATGAGTTTGATTATAGCCTATTTCATATTCTCTGTTTTGCCCATAGACTACTTAGAATGTATATGAGTTTGATTATTGCCTATTTCCTATTCTCTGTTTTTCCCATAGACTACTTAGAATGTATATGAGTTTGATTATAGTCTATTTCATATTCTCTGTTTTGCCCATAGACTACTTAGAATGTATATGAGTTTGATTATTAGCCTATTTCATATTCTCTGTTTTGCCCATAGACTACTTAGAATGTATATGAGTTTGATAATAGTCTACTTCATATTCTCTGTTTTGCCCATAGACTACTTAGAATGTACATGAGTTTGATTATTAGCCTATTTCATATTCTCTGTTTTGCCCATAGACTACTTTAAAGAATGTATATGAGTTTGATAATAGCCTTATTCAGATTCTCTGTTTTGCCCATAGACTACTTAGAATGTATATGAGTTTGATTATAGCCTATTTCATATTCTCTGTTTTGCCCATAGGCTACTTAGAATGTACATGAGTTTGATTATAGCCTACTTCAGATTCTCTGTTTTGTCCATTATGGATTGAAGAATATGAATTCTATTTTCAGGATGTGTCTTGAATGTGCATTTACCAATAGGAAGCAGTTGAAGAAGGACTGGGAAAATTTGCCTAAATCTCTCACTGGAATTCTCACTCATAAACTTGAGGCTATTGAACTGAATAAAGCAAGTGGCAGCTAACACAACATGTGTCCATCATGACACATTGAAATGTCATGACACATTGAAATCTCATGATTCCCAAATTACCATAAGCTTTCAAATTTAATGTTAACTATATCACAGGTTGGAACTCATTTTACTATAACATTTAGCAGTGTAACAAGTCGGCAATCATTTTACTATTACATTTAGCCGTATATCATGTTCGGATAAGCCAGGTGTTCAGATATACAGGTTTTACTATATATAAAACAAAAATTTTAATATCTCAGGATTCAGATGTTAGAAGGGTCTTATTTTTCAGTTGTAATACCAAATACCCGTATGACCCAAAAAGAGTTTATGTCTTAGAAAGCAGAAATTTCTGGAATGACTAGAAATGGTTCCATTACGTACTAAATCATGTAAATTGAAAACTATATTCTAGTTTTAAATGAATTAAATTGTCAAGTTACATTTGAAGATCATTTGAAGATTATATATTTCATCTCTGTACTATCAACACATGCTGTAAAAATCAGAACAAAAGCAGTCAAATATATCCCTTATGTTATGAAACAATATTTCCGTACTCCCTGAAATCTCAGAAAGGACCTTATGCACTCTCCATTGGGATCTCCTCATGAGAAAAAAATAATTCATTTGATTTTTCAAAATGAATATATACTGCTTGTATCATTACATTTATATGTACACTAATACCTTGTTTACCAGTATCCAGCATTGTATGGATGAAAGATTCAACTAGAAAAACAGCAACTCCATGGAGTAGCAAATCCCACCCAACAAAACATGTTTTGATAAATAGCGTCCATATAGAGTTTGAGCCAAATCCATCCACTGGTATTTGAATTATCAAAGATTATGTTTTTATGAAACATGGTTGCCATTTTGAAATTCAGCTGTTATCTTTAGATTTCTTCTTTAGCTCCTAAAAAGCTCCTATGTCCCAAGGCATTAGCATATACAATATAATCCAAATCTGTCAACTGGTACTTGAGTTATCAAGGATTACATGTTTAATAAAAAATGGCGGAGATTTCGATAAATAGCAGCCACCTTGAAAATTTCTTCTCGAGCAGAGCTCCTTTTGTCTCTAGGCATCAGTGTATAAAATTTTAAGTAAATCCGTCTAATGGTATTTAAGTTATCAAAGATTACCTTTTTTATAAAAAAATGGCAGCCATTTTGAAATTCAGCTGACACCTTTGAAATTTTTTTTACGAAAAATGGCGGCCATTTTGAAATTCAGTGGCCATCTTAAAAATGTCTTCTTGAGTAGAACTTCTTTGTCTCTAGGCATCAGCATATAGAATTTGAACCAAATCCATCAACTGGTATTTGAGTTATCAAAGGTGTTCTTTTATGAAAAATGGTTTCCATTTTGAAATTTTAGCTCCAATCTTGAAAATCCCTTCTCAAGCAGAACTCCTATGTCCATAGGCATCAGCATGTAAAAGGATTCGTCTGGATATATGCCCTTTTGGTCCCTCAGTCAAATGTATGTGGAATATGGTTTTTATTACTGTCCTAGTTATATTTGATAAGTATATTTACTTTTTCGTGAGTTTTGATGCATACCATGTTTAAACGTAAACCATGATACCATTGTATACCATGGTTTACCATGGTCTATCATGATCGGCAATGAAATTACCATCAACTCTGACCATGGTGGCAATGATGTTTTTTTGGTCAATTTTTGACCATGGTATACCATGGTATATCATGTTATACCATGTTTCATGGTATTTCATGTCCAAAGTTAGCCATCAAATACCATGGTATTATCATGGTATTTCATTGCTATGTTCCTGACCATCATTTACCATGGTATTACCATGGTATATCATGGTTGATTGCATTTCATGGCATTTCATTGTAAGATGTGACAATCAAATACCATGGTATTTCAATGCCATGTTCCTGACCATAATTTACCATGGTATATCATGGTTGATGGCATTTCATTATAAGATGTGACAATCAAATACCATGGTCATACCATGGTATTTCATTGCCATGTTCCTGACCATCATTTACCATGGTATTACCATTGTATATCATGGTTGGTGGTATTTCATTGTACAATTTGACAATCAAATGTCATGGTCATACCATGATATTTTATTGTTATGTACCTGACCATCCCTTACCATGGTATTACCATTTTATATCATGGTTGATGACATTTCATGGCATTTCATTGTACCATGTGACAATCAATTACCATGGTCATACCATGTCATTTCATTGCCAAAATCATAACTCTCATTTATCATGGTTTTATCATTGCATTTCATGGTTGGTGGTATTTCATGGCATTTTATTGTCAAACCTGACCATCAAATACTATGGTCATACCATGGTATTTCATTGCCATAATCATAACTATCATTTATCATGGCATATCATTGCATTTCGTGGTTGATTGTATTTCATAGCATTTCATTGTCAAACCTGACCATCAAATACCATGGTTATACCATGGTATTTCATTGCTAAAAAGAACTCTAGAAGAGTCTCAAGTCTAAAATTGGTCAGAGTTGAAATGGATCATGAAATGCAATGAAATACCACGTTTAACCATGAAATGCAATGAAATACAATGATTGATCATGATATGCAATGAAATGCAATGGTCTTTCTTGCAATGCAGTGAAATACAATGAAAGACCATGTTCAAAAAGTATTTTTTACATGAAATATCTTTATTAATAAATGTTAATCAGAAAACCAAATTATTATAATTAGTGATTCTGATATTCATCAAAATCACAACTTTATATACTTTTGTTCCTTTATTTAATAAATTAATTTCTATTATGAATAATTAAGTTAATAACCCTATAAACAAATTTTTTTGTTAAACAAATATGCTTTACTTTTATTTGACTGTTGTCGGTTAAATAGGAGATCAACTTAATATTTTGTAAGTCAAACCTCCAGTCTTCGATGAAACATCTTGACTGTACTTCATTGCATTTGATGGTTTGCAACCATGAAATACTGCAAAATAGCAGTATTTTTAAATGGAAACTTTTAAGTATAGTTTCTACAGTATACCATGGTAGATCGTGATAATTAAATGGCTCCATTGCATATCATGGTTAAATGTCTAGACCATGATATCACTGCATTTGATGGTATTTGGCCATGAAATACTGTGAAACGGTGGTATTTTTTAGATACAAAATTACATGTTAATTGACCATGGTATACCATGGTATATCATGATCGTTAAATGGCACCATTGCATTTCATGGTCAGGAGCGCTTTTTTAACATGGAGTTTCCCATTGAAAAAATACTGCCGTTTCACAGTATTTCATGGTCAGAAACCATCAAATGCAATGATATCATGGTCAAGAAACCATCAAATGCAATGATATCATGGCCGAGAACTTGACCATGATATCATTGCATTTGATGGTTTCTGACCATGAAATACTGCGAAACGGCAGTATTTTTTCAATGGAAAACTCCATGTTAAAAACGCACTGTAAACAATGAAATGCAATGGTGCCATTTAACGATCATGATCGGCCATGGTATTACCATGGTATTTCATTGCATTTCATGGCCATATACCATGGTATACAATGGTCATACCATGGTATACCATGCTATGGCCATGGTCCATTTCAACATGGAAATTAGCCCCCTGCTGAGAGTCATAATAAGTAGCCTAACAAAACAAAAAAAGTCATTATCATAGAAAAACACCAATGGCAACATGTATGACATACAAAGAAGAAATAACTTAAGACCCATGAAGAATTAAAAAGAAAATCATATTTTTGAAATATGTTTAAGGATTAAAATTTTTTTCAAATTTTTGAATTTCCACCAGTTTAATTTGAAGGGGGAAAAACAAGTTGGCTGCCATTTGATGTAAGAAATATCAGAAAAAGTTGCTTCACTTTTAGTTTTCACAATGAGCACAGTTTTCCGGTTTAGGTTTTTTGATTGATTATGACTCTTCATCATCAGGGTCACGTATAGGGATTATAAAATTGAAACCAAAATGTTGTGTTCAGCATGAATTTGACTGAAATATGTGTAACTTCACCAACACAATTGAAGTCTCAAAACTGGATGCTCAGTAACTTTGAGTGACTATAATCCCTTGATTACCCAGATAAACACCAATTCACTTATCCAGAAATACCATTCAATGTCTATACAAAGAAAGTAAGCAATGTTTTGGAGGATATGTTTAAAACTTTTTGTTTAAATAATTCATTCAATATTTGCCATTGATTTTTTTTCAATTCTGACGAAGTGATATGCACTGTCTTTGATGCCAATATTCTTCATCAATTGTGATACAAATTGAATTTTTTGTAACCTCAGAAGAAGGATAAGATATTGAAGTTTAATAATATGTGTGATTGAGTTGGTTTTTGAGACATTACAATTTTCAATATTTTCTAAGTCGATACCCAGACTCATTCCCAGACTCATCCTTTGAACCAAATCCATTCAATGGTATTTGAGTTATCAAAGATAATGTTTTTTTACGAAAAGTGGCCGCAATTTTGAAATATGGTGGCCATCTTGAAAATGTCTTCCTGTGCAGGCTCCTTTGTACCCAGGCAACGGCATATAAAATTTGAATCAAATCCATCCACAAGTATTTGAGTTATCAAAGATTATATTTTTTCCGAAAAATGGCCGCCATTTTGAATTGGGCATATTGAAAATTCCTTCTTGAGCGGAGGTCCTACACCCATAAGTCATAAGCCTATAAAATTTGAATGAAATACGTCAATCGGTATTTGAGTTATTGCCTGGACACACTAACGGACGGACAAACGGATAAACAGCTTTTCTATATCCCCATCGAACTTTGTTCAGTGGGATAATAAGAAGGTCAGATTTGGCTCAAACTTCATATTTGCAGATTTGATGAGATATACCATTTGTATCATATTGTTAAATTATTTAGTTTGCAATCGATTCAGGTCATAGTGTATTTTGGGAATTTTCATGCTAATCATTGGATAGCACAGGCATATTATGATCACGCCCCGTGATCACAAGAAATGAATGGAGGGGGGAGTAATAAGTTTCCAAACGTTAGATAAAAAATAATGGAAAATAATTAAAATTGAACAGAGAGGGGAGTGAACAGAGGGGGAGTAATATGTCATTAAGATGGAAGAAATTTCTGCGAATTTGTATATTTGAAAAATTGAGTAACAACTTGATGTTACAACTCTGAAAATTGAAAAATAGTGACATATGGAGTTAAAATAAAGAAATGAAAATAAAGCCAAGTATCATATGTCTTATAGATACATTACTCCCCCTCCATTCACTCCCCCCTCCATTCAATTTTAATAATTT